GCAGGTTGGATTTGGCCACCATTAGGGGCAACTTAACAGGGGCTCAGTACATCCGGGACGTCTTGAGGCCAGTCGTCGTTCCTCATTTTGACAACCAACCTCTTGCTACTCGACCTCAGTACATGGATGACAATGCCAGGCCTCATCGTTCGCATGCAGTCGTGGAACACATGAGGGCTAATGCAATAACGACTCCACCCTGGCCAGCAGTGAGCCCACATTTGAGCCCCCTTGAACATGTTTGGGATATTCTGGGGCGGCGCATACAGGCACGAGATCCTCCTGTACAAGATTTACGCCTACTGGAAGCAGCATTGCATCAGGGGTGGTTGTTGACCCATCAACAGATCCAACGTCTGACTGAAGGCATGAGACGTAGAGTGGAATGCGTCATCCGGGCACGTAGCGGTTATACCCGCTACTGATCTGTTTCACGTGTCATGTCAAGTAGAGACTTTAAGTAACATTTTCACATGAAACATTAAACCTAACTCGTTTACTTAATCCTGCAGCTCCATACCTTTTTGAGGTATTGTCTAAGGTCAAAAACAGTACCTGTGTTACTATGATGTTTTTGTCAGTAAATTTCAATCACAACTCACCAATATCCCCTCTATTTGTTGTCAAATGTTTGTTCTATCCGATGACATTGGTATCGCCCAGCTCCTGTGGTCAGGAATCTCATGCCAGGGGTTTTGCCATTTGTCATGGTTCAGAAATAGGGGTGTGCTTAACTTTTGTCTTTGTGTATATAATTAATTCACTTCACCTTCACTTTCCGCCGATTCAGACGGCCTCGTCGTATATGAAAGTCGAGTGTTAGAAACCAACTTAAGAATATTGTGTAGTCCAAACTAAAGGGACTGTTCGATTTCTTTATAGTGTTTCAAACATTTGTCAGTATCATGATTATACTGATGACTAAATACTGGGTGTGTTTGCTCCGCGTCACTATTTTCTTGTGTCTCATGAATACGCAATGTACTCAGACATAAGTCAAAACACCAGCGCAGGAAGGCGTGTTGGCAAATCGTAACTGCGAAATTAAAAGCTGGAAATAAACAAAAGTGTCACCACGTATACAGTTTGGCATCGCGCACACAGCGTGATGATGACAGATGACACAGTTGTTATTAATGTGTGTATACAACATGTATACTCAACGGCGAATGTAACTTTGACCGTACTCTTGTTCATCATATTTTGATTACTCAACATACGCATCTGTTACCGTGATTACTCATGATTAATATACGCATCTGTTATTGTGATTAATCTTGATCAATATACGCATCTGTTATTGTGATTACTCATGATCAATATACGCATCTGTTATTGTGATTACTCATGATCAATATACGCATCTGTTATTGTGATTACTCATGATCAATATACGCATCTGTTATTGTGATTACTCATGATCAATATACGCATCTGTTATTGTGATTACTCATGATCAATATACGCATCTGTTATTGTGATTACTCATGATCAATATACGCATCTGTTATTGTGATTACTCATGATCAATATACGCATCTGTTATCGTGATTACTCATGATCAATATACGCATCTGTTATCGTGATTACTCATGATCAATATACGCATCTGTTATCGTGGTTACTCATGATCAATATACGCATCTGTTATCGTGGTTACTCATGATCAATATCCGCATCTGTTATTGTGATTACTCATGATCAATATCCGCATCTGTTATTGTGATTACTCATGATCAATATCCGCATCTGTTATTGTGATTACTTAACATGATTACTGGTTTACCATGCTTTAGGATATAATTCAAATTTAATAATTGCCGGTCAACCGAAGGACATGAGGCAATTAACGACTGACCACTTCTCTGTTCCCTTAGCTTGTGAAACATCGAAGGGAGATATTTCAAACAAAACTGGAACAAATTTGATGCTTACGCCTCGAATAAACGCCGGGGTCTGAGGACTTCCCAAATAAATAAACACCCGGGGTTTTCCCTTTGCTGTGTATAGGAATAAGACTTTTTAGTTTCAAGTTTTGTTTTCAAACTTGAGGCATCCCACCTAAATAGCGGGCCTTCAGCTGCAATCCCTTGCAATCTCATTACATTCGTGCCTTTTATAGTTTGTTATATACGAGACATGTAGACATGTATTTGCTATCGGAGTAAAAGATCCGTTAAAAAATGGATCACACATGACTATAAGACCAGTTAAAAACATATATTTGTTTCTCAAGACATGTTTTAATAACTAGATTCCATTTTTTTCTTTAGCGGGTTAAACATCAATAAAACTAAACTGTACTTATGAACAACGTGGTTTTGGGGAGGACCATGGTCCCTGTCTACAAACATACGAATCACACACACGACGAATGGCATGTGGTATGTGAAAATGTCTGAATCTGGTACAAAAACGAAAGGTCAGATGAAAAGTGTCTGAAAACGATGCTTCAAAATAAAGAAAATATATTAATTGCGAGGTCAATTTAGGAGCGGGACATTTATGTCAAGACGAAAACAGATACTAGTATTATACATATTAATTGTCAAATCACGGATTTACATTGTTTCTTGGGGGGTGATTTAAAAAAAATAATTAAATGCCTAGGTTCAATGTGTTAGTAATATGAATGAATCTGTCACTCTTAATGATCATAATATGATCTCATTTGGAGATGTGTCAAAAATACGTATTTGTCTACGCGCAGATGAGAATCAGTCCCATCTCTGCATTTTGGCGAATGTCCGAAACTTCCCAACACATTTTAGGAGAAGCAAGTGTTGGGTCTCCATGTCATTCATTCAGTCAGATATATACGAGTATATAGGCCTTTGACCTCTGAACCCTTGGGTGCCGGAAGGACATAATGCAACTCCTCTTCAACACGCCCTTACAAGGTAACCATAACACAGCATACATCACGTCCACTGAAACAAACGTGACTGTTTGGGATTCCCAAATTCACTGTTCGGGGATGTCATTCTCAGCAACCCATTCTTGCGGTAAAAGGCGACTATGCTTGACGTAAGAGGCGACTAACGTGATCGGGTGGGCAGGCTCAATTGCGTTGATCGATGCCCATGATATCTATCAATCACTGGATTGTCTGGTCCAGATTCGATCATTTACTGACCGCCGTCATATACAGTAAACTACGGTTATAACGAACTCATAGGGACTACTAATTTTAATTCGTTATAACCGTAGTTCGTTATAAGCATATATACAGCATAACTACAGCAAATAGTCGGGACTAAAAAGCAAGTTGGTTATATCCGTCAGTTCGATATAAGCATGTTCGTTATAACCGTAGTTTACTGTAGCTGGAATATTGCTGAGTGCGGCGTAAAACACTAGCTTTGGCCTCGTCTATGATTTTTTTTGCGACTTTTAATATTTTTATTGTTATAATTAGTTACATGGTCATGTGCGTAAAACAACAAACCAACCCTCCATTAACGAAATGCTACACGAATAATTAGTGGTAGCCCGACTTTCAATGACAGTGACCTACAGTGAGGCATTACGGAGTTATGTCCCTTTTATCTTGACAGTTTAAAAATATTTTGTTCCAGAAAATAATTTAGATTTGCAAAAATAAATGTGTTTAGAGGCGTGCTGGATTTTCTAAAAAAAAACATGTGACGCGGTTCATCCCAAATTGTTTGGATCTCAGAAATATAAAGATGTCTTGAATCTCGAACCCTATACTATCAATGATTGGTTGCCAGGAGTCTTGGTGGGATTTGTAATTAAGAAGTCATCTCATATCATATGAAGTCTGAATTCAAGTTATTTCTAATGTAAGGGACTGATCATGTAATATTCTAAATTTTATTGGAGCCAATATTAATATATTTTACGGGCACTTCTAAGACATTCATTTTTTTTCTCTTAGAGGAGTGGAACAAATTTGCTTTTCACATTTTGTTTCACATCCATTATTTTATTTTATCATCATAAAAATCATTGTTTTCTTTTATTATTTGGAGCAGATGGTATAGTCTTGAAACGTAAAAAAAATACAGGACTTGTAATTGTATTGTCTTTTACAAATAATTAGTTGTTTTCAGGGCAGGCTGTAAAATTCAAAACAGTCAAAACATGTCAAACTTAGGGGAAGGATTACTTTATGGCTGCTATTCCATGATGAACAAAGTGTATAAAAGGTAAAAATATTTACTTTAAAAGTTCCAGATCATTTGTTATTACAAAGTGAGTTCTTGTTTATCCCCAGATGGGAGTTGACATGGAACTTTGGTTGCTAAACACCTACCTAAATAACACTGTATTATTCAGTGTGCCACCTGTTTAATGTTATAGGGCTGACTCATGGTGTTCATCTAAAAATGGTTTGGTCACATTAACCAAACAAAGGTTTATCTCCATAATTCTATAACTGTTCAGGTTTGTCAACACTGTTTACCGGTACCTGATTTCTTCCTCATCTCACTTTGGAACGACCGATACTTCATGTGAATCTCTAGCATGATTTGATGACTATTATCACTGATCCATGTTTTGAAAGTAGTTGGAAAATAAGTGGGAGAGTGGGATTAATGTGGCTTTGAACAGTATTTCAGTTATATCATGGCGTGCATGGGCGGATACAGCTTTTTTGAAAAGGGGGGGTGCACAATTAAGATCTATTCATTGTCTTTGGTGGTAATTTATACAGAAATAAAGATTTTTTTCTAAATAAAAAGGGGGGGGGGGGGGGGTGCACCCCCGCAACCCCCCTCTGTATCCGCCCATGGCGTGTCTGCTTGATAAGCAAGGATAACCCGAAGTGATGATGTTTGCAAATTTGGGTAAACCCAAACAATACCTGGGTGATAAATAGAATTCGAATCCATGATCACAGGTTTCTGACGCGCCTGACAGATTAACTATGGTAAATATGAAAGAATCGGTTGTTGTTTAACATCTTTTGAGTAGTATATGTCAGGCATCTGAGAACATCAAAGGGTGAGTCCCTACAATAACACAAACAACTCTCGTATACTGCTTGTTTAATTCTTCCTTTCGGAACAGATATGCATACAGTTACATATATGAGACAAATTTGAAAGTCCTGATGTTTGACATATTATGTTTTCACAACTACCCCAGTATTTTGTTGTCCACTGACATTCACATTCAACATTTCTTGAAATATGGAAGTTAGATGAAAAACTGGAGAGGAATTTGTTATGATTTCATCATGAAGGCTGAATCTTTGATGAGGCAATCACCCTGACAACTTCACACTTGGACAAAATTTTAAAGTAAACATAATTGTAAACAACTCAATTATTAGACAGTAGTATTTACTACCTAAACATAATCTAGTAAAAAATAAATGAATATCAGTTACTAATTCAATCAGGCAGATTTGTGTTAAGTGATTTGTTTACATCCTTTGTAGGCTAATCCTTTCAAAGCTATTTAAACATTTAGGAGAATATATGTAATCAGTAAAATCACTTGAGGTCTGTGGAATGTGATCTACTGGTAAACACATGGGTTGAAGATGTACAGAGATGTTTCGTGATAAGTGAGTGCCATGTACATTTTATTCAAATGTCTTGGAAAGACACATGTTGCTTACAACCTATCTTTTCAATCAAGGCTTCAAAGCCATGCATATCAATCTAGAAACTTAAGGTGAACATTCAGAACAATTTACTCAACGTGACCAGGGAACTTTATATCGGTACATGTCTCTGGTCGGACACTTTGCTTGCCAACATGATGCATGATGCTATCCCATACAATGACCTTTACTTAGGAGTTTTCACACCTCCTCCCTCACTGGCACCTTTGCAATGAAACATATGTTGTGTTGGGTGCTACCAGTAGAGCAGGACATGCTTACCTTTTTTGTGAAAACGTGGTGTCATCTCTGGTTCTCAGTGAAATATTCATATCGTTTTCATCCCTGTTTTGTCTTTTACGGCCTATTAAATCTGTCTTTGTAGATATTTGAGACTTATTTTTGAATGCTAGGGATGATCTGTCTATTTTGGACAGGTGGTTTTCATATACCAACTCTGCTACAGCATGACCACAAGCCCCACAAAACATTCCAGTTCAATAGGACTGCATGGTATTACCGGTATACTGCAATATGCTTTTCAATTGATATACACAATTAATATTTATTTACTCTGTTTTGGTATATTGGGTAAAAAATATATAACAAATGTTGTTATTATTTCTATCATTTAACTTAAAATCACTCACAAGTGATGTTTCCCGTCGAAACTGATTGACAAAACGGTGGAAGCGCAGATGTGACTTTCCTCTCACCGCGACACTGACTGACCATGTTGACTTTGACATCGTAATAGTTACTTTAGATTGTAGGAAATAGGATCTGCAGGCACAATCAGTGTCAATCACTGTCCAACACTCAAGCTCCCAATTTACTTCAAATCCATATCACAATATATCGCAATACAATTGTTTTGCCGATGCACAGCACTACTATTTAACGGGGGCACAAAACAGCTCTTTTCATCTCTTCAGTGTGTACCAGTTGGTGAACATGCATCTTCCTGAGGCAAGGAGTTAACTGACTGTAAAATTCCAGTTTCCACCCTAGCCAAACTAGGCTGGAATTTCTGGGCTCGATCGTAGCATCACCAGTGGCTATTAGAAGTTATGTCCCTACTATACCCCACCTATTGACCAATCAGATTCCACCTCTCATATCACTTGCATTTGCTTCAAACAAAATGGCTGTGCCCAGTCAAAACGATCAGATCGATAATCAAAATCTATATTGTAATAAAATGGTTCACACCTCGCGAAGTCCATCAAATCACGTAAGCACCTTGATTTAAAACATAAAAGTATTTGGAAAATATCTGTTGTCACCAAGTTGGTGGAACACATGCTTTACAGCTTTACAAATCCAGCAATCAACCGAAATCTGCACGGCAGTTTATGACCCAGATGTCGATTTCGTACGTGATTTTTGATTGGACAATGCATGGCCTCGTTAGTCCAGCCAAAATAGAGCCCCATAATTCTAGCCTAGTTCGGCAAGTGTGGAGACTTTTATATTCAGTTATCTCCCTTGCCTCAAGAAGATGGGGAAGATGGATGTTTCCGCTTCTAGTAGAATGGCTTGTCCTCTATGTACCTCTGTATCAGGTCATATGCCCTGTCAGGCTGGTCAAAGGGAACTATATGACCTGAACCTCGCACAATCACCTGCAACATACAGGACACAACTGATCCCAGCACCTTGCATGATACCTCTGCAGGTTATTTCTCTAACAAGAAGACAGTCATTCATATCCCCTACACAATCCATGCAAGTTATCAACTGTAAACACATAATCTATATTTCTGTGAAAACAGTAGGTACCAATCTTACCTAGCCTGATACATTTAAGTTTCATGGACAAATAATGAAAGGTTTTGCACCAAAAACAGCATTTGAACTTAGTGCTGTGAAAGAGCCAAATATGAAAGAAAAAGGCACCATTTCAGCACTTGCCCGATGTGTATGCAAAGTTTCATGAAGATATATTATACAGTTTATGAGTTATGCTACTGAAATGAAGCCTTTCATCATTTGCCTAATGCAAAAAGACATAAACAAGGGCCATAACTCTGCAAAATATTTATACTTGATAAAGAATTTAAAACTTGATAACATATTCATCACTTAATGATGTATTGAAAAATTCATAGTGGTTATGAAAAAATATTGCCCCCCATTGGTGGTTCTGTGCACCATGTCCAAAACATGAATAAAGGGTTATTATTCTGAAAAAAAATAATAAATTGTGTGGTAGTTTTGAAACTTGTTAACACATTCATCACATAATGATGTATTCAAAATGTAATCTATAAACTAGCTGTCCTATCAAATTACACTCATGATCCAGAGAAATTCTGTGCTTATTGATAAGAGATTGTGAGATTGTGACGTCACTTCCCCAACGAACCTTTAATGGCTAATGGGCTAAGGGGAGTTATTGTAACAGAATGGAGATATAGCACCTGGATACAAGAGGATGATAGCTGGTGCCTTACCTGAGTGAAGTTCCCCACTACCCGGACATAGCCTGCCACCTCTTGGTCTGTGGGGGAGACTCTCCAGATGTGTTTGGTGGCCTGTCTGTAGGCTGGGAGATCTCTCCACTCTGTCATGCTGTCAAGCATGGCCTCCGTGGTCGGAGAACACACGATGATGTCCAGCTGTCCGTTGTACAGCAACACCTGATGACATAGTATGTATAGAGGTTGAGATAAGCTGCATAACTGCGTATAATATGCATTAAATACACTGAAGTATGCAGACAAATCAAATCCTAGCGTATATTACAACTATTAGATAAAACGGTTGCAAGCAGATGTGGACGGGTATACTACTTTTCATATAGTTTTAAATGATTTACAGGCATTGTTACGAAACAGGTTAATGTACCCAAATGCCAGGAAACAGCTGGGTAACATATTTATTAAAACCCTCCCAAATTGTGGATACCCAATCAAAATTGAAGCCCTGGGTAAAATACCCAAATAATCAAAAGCTTATTTGTGTCACTCTAGGTGCAATGATATGGTGGGATCACAATACGATACATATCCTGATACTACGGGTGTGATATGATTTGTATCCTGATACAGTATATTTATTTCATAATTTGATATTCATATTTTCCACATGAATCAACCCTCAACAACAATCATTAGTTTCTAAATTTCAGAGACCAAAGATGGGATATTAAAGGGCAGAAACATAGACCAAAGGGCCTTGTGAATGTTACTGCTTTTTACAGCCAATAGGGAAATATTATGGTATATGCGTAAGCTGGTTGTTGAAAAGTTACCGTATTTATTCAAGTGTTTTACGTCAGTATAACTTGTAATGTAAATTTTCCAGCAAGTAAGAACCCTACTCATGTCGACAGTGTTTGACATCAGGGCGCGAAATTACTAGTGCTGCAATGCCCGTGGCACACATAACACTGCAATTAGCATGCTTGTATTTTATGTACAGTGCCATGAGGGCACTGACATTTTTCATTGAAAGTACTTCTGTTAATTTTTATTTCATTTCTTGACAACATTAAACTGTGAAAGAGTTATCACCCTTACCTGTTCCACGATTGCTAAACAACTTCCTGTTGTAAATCAAATCGGCATTATTCAATTAGCAATATTCCAGCAATATCACGGCGGGGGACACCACAAATGGGCTTCACACATTGTACCCATGTCGGGAATCGAACCCGGGTCTTGGGCGTGACGAGCGAACGCTTTAACCACTAGGCTACCCGACCGCCCCTACCGGGATCGAGGAAGATATGGAAATAAGGGAGAGATTATCTCCATATCTGAGAGATGGTGACACTTGCCTTGTACTGCCCACTGTTGAGTAGGGTGAGAAACCAGGGCCTGACGCTGTCTAGGAAGTCGGAATACAACATCTGAAATACGCGGTTGCTGGAGCCAGAAAAGGTCATGTTTCCAACATGGATCGCTTGGCGGACTTCAGGAAGATCAACATATGCAGAATAGTAGGACATGTCAGCAGGCCCCTGAAACAGACAGGGGAAGCAAATACAATGAGTGAGTGTCAGTTTGGATTTACACTGCATTTAGCAATATTCCAGCAAAGTGACGTCGGGGTACACCAGAAATGGGCTTCACATATTGTACCCATTTGGGAAATCGAACCCAGGTCATTGCATGGCGTGATGAGCAAACGCTTTAACCACAAGGCTACCCAACCGCCCAAAAACACGTACAAGGTGTCAACGAAGACATCACATGAGTTATTATAATAATGACGACAATGATGATCATCATGGATTTACAGGACACAAAAGATTGCATCCTATACACAAACAGGCTGAATGGATCAAGTGATTGTTACTGTGAGTCCTGTGGGAAGAACATGAAATTGTCTGTTTCAATCATTACAATCATCACATTTAGATTTGTATGTGACATATCACTTACATTTCTATTCTGGTAAGAAATAAAAGTTTCAATCTCATTAAAATCATATCTTATCATAAGGGTAACGCTATTTTTCAGAGCTTTTGTTATTTGCAGAAGCCCGAGGTCTTCCATTAACTGCCCGACGAAGGATAAATGATAATACCCTGAAAAATAGTGTTACCTTTATTATAGCTAAAATGGATGGAATTTGTTATCAAATAAAAAACCCCAACAATATTGGTTTTGAAACATTTACTGCAATCGACACCAATGTCACTGACCAATGTCAACTTTTACAAATATGGAAATGTCATAGAACAAACCAGATAGTGACATTCAATAGTGACGTCACTTATCCCTATCCTATGACGTCACCTAACAACGGGCGTGATAATGACCCGTCGTCAAGCGATATGAGGGCATTATCAAGTTACAGTGGCCCGCTCATTTTTGATAACATGCGGGCGGTTTAATTATAATTCTATCCATTTTAGCTATAATACTTGTTACCACTACAGATAGATCTGAGGACATTCCATTACAAGGCATGTCAAACGGAACAGACGTTAGTTCAGTTTTCAAATTTTGAATCAAGAACTTTGACAAAATATTTTTCAAAGAGTAGTCTGGTATGGAGTTTGCCAGTTAGAAATAAGTGCCATAAAACTCAAGAATGCTGCTATGTGATTGGGTAATATTGACTTCCTGTCATTCCATTGGTCGGCGAAAGTTCGCAAAAGGTCGTTCTGATGTGACCTGTAATGGGATGTCCTCAAATCTATGAGTAGTGGAGCTAGGAGCTGATTTTAAAGAGATTGTACAAGTTTATAATATCAGTGGTTGACTTTCTTCAATCTAACATTGAAATACCCTTCTATAATAGGCTAAAAACTCCTTTGCGTGCCACATGTGGCTAACCTAAAACCTCTATGTTATACCTTGAACCCCAATTTCAGCCCCTGAACTCAAAGTTAAGATCCAGGTAAATCCTGACAATAATATGGATCATATTGAAAATAATAGGGCATTTATTAACATAGAAAATGGAGCTAAACTAGATTTATTGGTGTGTGAAGGCCATTATGTCAGTGCAGGGTTAAAAAAATCATAACTAAAGACAAATATGGAGCTTCATTCACCTTAATAAGAAATAAATAATTGCGATCATGCTTGAAATTGGAATTCTTTGAGTACATTTTAGAGACACCATAACTTTGATCCTTTCATATAAAGTTTCAACTCCATGTCTTGTAGCTTCAGAGGTGTTGAAAATGTAATAACACGTGAATCGGTTAAAACACTCTTCAGGCAGAAAGTTTTCACTAATTGTTTTTTTAATTCTTTAAAAAAATTGAAAAAGCACTTTTTTTTATTTTGCAAAGGCAAACTTGCTTGTTCATAAAAAACATTTGAACATACAACAGACTTTACTCCAAGACAATAGGTTACAGGATGTTAAACAATGAGATCACCTCAACAAACACCGTTTTTTCTTACCTACTGTCAAGGTTTTTTCACAAAATATCTGAAAACCGAGGAATATATCAAGTCTGACCTTGCTGGATCTCATTTATGTTTTGAAAGAAAAAACTGACATCTGACACTAAGACTGCAATCTTTGTAACAATAAATGAAGTAAGGTTGGGTTCCAAATTACTTACCGTACATTAGAGTGCCAGTGGCATGGTCAAAATGGTAATGAATCACATGATAAATATACTTTCACACAGCTAAACTTGACAAGTACCAGGAAAGTGAACAGCATGATGTACGTTAAACCCGGGGAGTCCTGAACTGTGCACAGAATCATCATTCTCAGAAATAGGGAAACCTTTCTTATTTACAGTCACTTATTATCTTGCTTATGACACTCACTAAGTTCACAGATAGATGATTCTTATTGTTGGCATATTTAAGTGCCCAAATAACAGTCTTCATGAATGCCTGTGATATATTTTTATCCCTGTATGCCATCCAGCTTACCTGCATTTCCAGAATATTCTCATGGGAAATGTATCCGGTGGCATTGTAGAAGAACCCTTTACCCAATAGGAGAGATGTGAAGATCTGAGAACAAAAGAGAAATTAGTATGTTGTATCCTGTGTTGCATCTGGAGTGAGTGAGGGAGTTGGGTCTAACACTGCTTTTAACAGTGGCCTGCCCAAGGGAAGCAACTCTGAACAGTGACTTGCACCACCTAAGGTGACTGGGCCACCTGTGCCACCTGTTGAATCTGGAACATTCCTGGAAGATACCCGTACCGTTTCAAGCTACAGCTGCTTGTCTATTTATCTAGTAAAGGGGTACTGGGAAATTTCGTCAGAGAATACTTCTATTTTTAGGTCACGTTTCCAGTGCGACATCATGTCTGTCACAAGTTCATAAGAGAGAGTGCTTCCGAAGGTAGCTAATAACTTTTGTATCTTACAATGTTGATAAACATGTGTTTTCAAATTTGAGGGTGTTACTGAGCAATCGATGCCCAGGAGTTGGAGCTGTAACAATATGGCGGGAACACAATATGATAGGTATCTTGTTACCATGGGTACGATACAATTCATATCCTGATACCGTACTTATAACTGGATATTTGGTCTTTTTGCAGGTGAATAACACCAACCGGGAATCAGTTGTTTTTAAATTTCAGAGATCAAAGATGGGATATTGTAAGACAGAAACATATAGGGCACTATGAATGTTCCAATATTTACAGCCAACCGGAAAAAACTAGAGAATCTGTGTAAGCCAGTGGTTGAACAGTTTCTGCTATCATTCACATGTTTTTACACCAATATAACTTGTAGTGTAATGTATCAATGTATAGTATCGTGGGCCTCGCATCAGTTTACTGTATCGATATACCGATTTTCAACAACCTCTAGCTGATGATGTAGGTTTCAAATGACACTTCAGTACATTGAATACTAAAGAAACCCAGGAAGGCAAATACTGTTAATCTTATAGTTAAGTTTCTTCAATCCACTGCAGTTATTCATGAGAAACAAGCTTCACACTAGATTAGTCCAGTGATTACATGAACTTGACATATTTCAAATTTATCAATATGTTGGGCTAAAGAGAGTGCTCTGATTGCTTTGTCAGAATAAAATTTAGACACTAAAAGGTTCCACTGCAAGTATTGACATTCACTATACTTACATCCATGGCATTTTTGAAATCCTTAGCTTTCAGAAGCTCTGTAACCTTTCCCATTTTGTCCTGGAAATATTGTTTCTCTTTCTCGTCGAACAGACCAACATTAAACAGGTAGTCTGCATAGGCCGGAATCATCTATACAACATTAAACAGGTAGTCTGCATAGGCCAGAATCATCTATACAACATTAAGCAGATAGTCTGCATAGGCCGGAATCATCTATACAACATTAAACAGGTTGTCTGCATAGCCTGGAATCATCTATACAACATTAAACAGGTAGTCTGCATAGGCCGGAATCATCTATACAACATTAAACAGGTAGTCTGCATAGGCCGGAATCATCTATACAACATTAAGCAGATAGTCTGCATAGGCCGGAATCATCTATACAACATTAAACAGGTTGTCTGCAAAGCCTGGAATCATCTATATAACATTAAACAGGTAGTCTGCATAGGCCGGAATCATCTATACAACATTAAACAGGTAGTCTGCATAGGCCGGAATCATCTATACAACATTAAACAGGTAGTCTGCATAGGCCGGAATCATCTATACAACATTAAGCAGAGAGTCTGCATAGGCCGGAATCATCAATACAACATTAAGCAGATAGTCTGCATTGTCCGGAATCATCTATACAACATTAAGCAGGTTGTCTGCATAGCCTGGAATCATCTATATAACATTAAACAGGTAGTCTGCATAGGCCGATATCATCTATACAACATTAAACAGGTTGTCTGCATAGCCTGGAATCATCTATATAACATTAAACAGGTAGTCTGCATAGGCCGGAATCATCTATACAACATTAAACAGGTAGTCTGCAAAGGCCGGAATCATCTATACAACATTAAGCAGATAGTCTGCATAGGCCGGAATCATCTATACAACATTAAACAGGTTGTCTGCATAGGCCGGAATCATCTATACAACATTAAGCAGATAGTCTGCATTGTCCGGAATCATCTATACAACATTAAACAGGTTGTCTGCATAGGCCGGAATCATCTATATAACATTAAACAGGTAGTCAGCATAGCCTGGAATCATCTATACAACATTAACAGGTAGTCTGTATAGCCTGGAATCATCTATACAACATTAAACAGGTTGTCTGCATAGGCCGGAATCATCTATACAACATTAAGCAGATAGTCAGCATAGCCTGGAATCATCTATATAACATTAACAGGTAGTCTGTATAGCCTGGAATCATCTATATAACATTAAACAGGTAGTCTGCTTAGGCCGGAATCTTCTATATAACATTAAACAGGTAGTCTGCTTAGGCCGGAATCATCTATATAACATTAAACAGGTAGTCTGCTTAGGCCGGAATCTTCTATACAACATTAAACAGGTAGTCTGCATAGGCCGGAATCATCTATACAACATTAAACAGGTAGTCTGCTTAGGCCGGAATCTTCTATACAACATTAAACAGGTAGTCTGCATAGGCCGGAATCTTCTATACAACATTAAACAGGTAGTCTGCATAGGCCGGAATCATCTATACAACATAAAAAAATGTCGCTCACTCCCCACACACACTCACTGTTGATAAAGACTATATGGCTTCACAGATTGATCACCTTTAACTGTGTACAACTTTATGTCCCCATCACGAACATACAAACACACAATTTGGAATTTGCTTAAATTGAGATTTCAAAATTCAAATATCTTTAGAAACCATATGGCGTTTACCCTCAGCCCAATTAAAAACACAAGTACACTCAGAGCATGTGAATAGAGCACCATATAAATTGGCATTATTATTATTATTATTATTATTATCATTATTATTATTATAATACATACTGAAATGGGGTCTGTGAATGCCCCTCCAATGAAAAGCCCCTTCAGGTTGATGTTGACTTTGGCTGTGGGATTCTCTGTGTGGATCTTATAGCTGATGGCTGGGATGTATTTGCCTGCGTAACTCTAGACACAGAGACCAACAAGCAATCTTACTCATATTGGACTCAGTATAAGTTTAAGAGATTTAATTGATAAAACGAAGCCCTGGTTTTGCAAACCAGTGATTAATAGCCTCTAACTCAAGAAATAGAGGCCGACAAACAATCATATAAATCTTAGACTCAGTATATGATTAAGAGATTTAACTGAAATTCATAAATGAATGTTTTGCAGGACATATAATTTCACAGTGGAAAAAGTTCATGAGTGAATCTTATTGTACACCTAGGTCACCAATATCCTGCCATCTCACAGTGGTCTGTAAATATAAGAGCCCTGGCATAGCAAACCAGAGGTTAATATCATGAGCAACAATCCATGAGCACTGTGGCGTGATGACACATAATCAGCCAAGCCACAAATCGTAACCAAATGGGTCCCGAGCTATGACTAGAGTTAGAATACGGACGCTTCTAGGATTGGGATCGTGGCCTTTATCAGCCCACTCACATGACAGGCAGGGGCTTATGGGGACTAACTCTGCCCTGGTGTTCCCATCATGGCGTAAACAATTTCCTTAAGGTGAGGCCATTTTCTTCCTATCTCCAAGGGAGGGTTTTTCTATCCTGAAGAGAGGTATCGCATCAAAGGAAATGATGTGATTGTATTGAGTTCGTAAAAGTACATAGATTTCTGACAAATAAGTTGACCTGAATATATAGGTGGGGAGCGTACCTGGCCGGTGATGTACAGATCGTTCTTCTGGAAGCGAGGAAACATGGTGTAAAACTGCAGCAAGAAACTACAACAAGAAAACCAGGAATAAGTGAGAGGTGAGTCATGAGTGGGATTTTATTAGGAGATAAACATGTGTTGTAAATAAGACAAAATTGTTATGGATGAGCAACTTCTTTATTACAATTGGGCGACGGTTCGGTGTAGATTCTAACACCGTTATCAAGCAAATGATAACAATTTTGTCTTAGTTACTGTAGCAGGGCGTGGGGTCATCCCACAGATGACATCCTTACCTTGTCAGCTTGCTGACGGGGTTAACCTCTTTGGTCATGTGGACAAGGCGTCCGACCTCGGATCAGAAGGTCCGTGGTTCGAATCCCATCACGGGACTCGGAAATTTTATGGCCGCTACATTACCATTCCAACTTCAAAATGCCACTCAAAGAAGTTATGTGTTGTAAATGTTGAGCTATGTTACCGGTTGATCTGGCAGTACAGCAATTGTACATATCATTATTTCAAAATGTCTACCAACAATAATTGCGAAAACTTTTCTTTTCTGTGAACACTACCTTCACTCTGCAATGATTCCTTCAAATTTCTACACTATTTCACAACGGGTAGACCATTATGTTTACAAAGAAGCAATGGTGGCCACAGGGATTTATATAGGTCTGTTCAGAGGCTGATATTCAGCCTGAAGTCTTCAGCAAATTTTAGTAAAAATTCCCCAAAAGGAATTAAACATTTCCCCATTGATTTTAATAGTTCTAAACAATGTGATGGCTTAGTCAAAAGTGACTTGTACTTCACTGACGGTGGGATCATTAACATGCTTTATTATATATCATTGCATCGAATGCATTGATCAAATATACTGTTAAAATTAGTGAAATCAGAACTCTGAAACAACCAGCGAGATAACATTTGCCCTAATTGCCTGCCAAAGGCACTGACAGTAAAGTACAGTTATAACGAACTCAAAGGGACCACTAATTTTAGCTCGTAATACCCGTTTTCGTTATAAGCATATATACAACAAATGGACGGGACTAAAAAATAGGTTCGTTATATCGGTCTGTTCGCTATAAGTGGGTTCGTTATAAACATAGTTTACTGTACTTTGGAATCCAAGGAAAATCCCTGGGCCATATATGTATACGTCAGATACATAATTGTGTCTGGAGTTAGCATCCCTTTACGGTCCTTTGGGTTTGTAATGAGTTAGGTTAGTGTTATCTTTCTCAACTCTGTTACAGATGTTACCTGAGGAAATCCTGCATCATCACTAAATCCATATTATTGTTAGGTTTCCTCAATATCAAGAATTGAGTTTGAATCATGGGCTCAATGTATGAGACACTCTTCTAGAGGTACCTACTGCTATAAACATTTGCTGATATGTACATATGTATTATACATGTATAACATTCCAGCTATATGCTGGCGACCTCTAAATAATCCAATCTGGACCAGACAATCCAGTGAATGATTGTGTGGGCAGCGTCCTATGCAGTCAGGGCATGATGAACATCAGTCAACCATGTGACCGAGTCTGACCACCCGATCTAGTCGATCGCCTCGTGTCAGATGCATTGACTCCATAAGCCTAATTAGCAGCATAAAGATGTAATTACCTGTAGAGGTCTCTCCCGACATCGTCCTCGGTGGTGGCGTACCCTGACAGGTTGTCAGTGAAGCTAAAGCCAGTGCCGACCTGTTGGGAATACAGAGTTGAATACAGCAAACAGACTTTGAGAGTGAATACATCGCAGATAGTTAGCAATCAACAACAAATCAATCACAATTTCATGACACGCTTTAAACAAAAAGTTAAAGTGAGTAGAGACACCAGCAAAGGTGACTATGACATCAATACATTGTAAAACGAATGGGAGTGTGTGCTGCAATCTGATTGGTTGAAAAACATTGATATATAGGATTTGAGGTACAGAAATGGTTTGACTATTCAATTGTCATAATTACTTTTCTTGGGTGCTTTTTTTTCATCCTAAGTTTGAAAAACGTGCAATTCGATTTGGTGAAGTGGCTACCACCGACCGTCTGCTCTCTGGGTATACACTCTATCCAATACATTATGGAGCCAGTCAATATCTTTTTCAGTCAGTTGTTTTAGTGGAAAAAGATTTGTTAGAAATGGATTTGTCCTCACTGTGAAGGTTTTATAGTGACTAGATAAAACAATGCACTTGATCTTTTATTATTCAAAAAGTCAACAGTTACCATGGTTACTGGTTAGATATTTAAAGTTGGATCATTGTATTTTCCTAGTCCATCAAAGAAAGAGTGGCTGGACAAACAAAAATAAATATATTGCAAGTGATATCCATGGCATTTGATTGGCTAGTCAAGCAACTTTTAGCATTTATGTCTCCAAAAGCCAAAAAACCAACAGGTAACGCCAACTGTCAGACTACAGTTTCCTGATCGGCTGAGAATAAAATTGGTTGCATTATTGTGCTGAATGTCACTGATATCAAAGTTTTTTCTAAAGTTTTTGTGTGTTAATGATTAAACAAGCAGTCTACGAAGTTCTTATTGTGGACTTATTTATTTATTTTTAAGAATGGACTTCAATGTTTTTGCATACAAAACAGTATGCACACTTTGCTTTTTACACATGTACAGTATGCAAGTGTTTTTTACGTTCATACCTCCATAATTGCAAAAAATATTGAAGCCAATTCTAAAATAAATTGAGTTTAATCATATATTCTGACTGATTTTTGATTCATGATCATTACTGTATCACTGATCATATACTTTTTGAAAAACAATTCTGACTGGGCTAGCAGGTTACATCTAAATGGTGACAGCTGAAAACTAATTCTGAAATCACATTAATTATTGTTACAAAATCCTCAGTACATACCGGATTGTCAACATATAACACTGAGTACTTGAGTGACCAGTCAGCCTTCCGTCGCGACACTGGAAAATACAACATTAGTTCAAGGATTTATCTAGGATTTTCATTTTAGTGCCTGTGACAGGCAAATTAGGGAAAAGAGTCTTTTAAAAAAACACCCAGATTTTCTTCAATTTAGGGGTACCATGTCAAGGTTAGACGATGCTAATAATTTCCCAAACCATCCTTCTTTGAGAGGTATTTAGAAGTTGGAGTACTATAAGTAAGGATAAGATTATGGATGGACATCTTCTTTATTACAATTAAGAACGACATTTCGTAGTAGATTCTAACACCGTTATCAAGCAAGTGATGTACAGAGTATGGTTGACAAGCGTTTATAAATGTATACAGGTATGAAGCAGTGTTTTACAGTAGGGTAGATTGGGATGCAGTTACACTGAGTGGATAAGCCTGTGATGTACACAAAAGGGGTAACATAAGGTAAGCATCTTACAGGTGAAGCCAGTAGCATGAACAAAAGATTATGACTGATTGGGGTCTTTGATGAGTTGGTGGTGCGCAGGGGCTATTGTTGTAGCCTTGATCATGGTTCATTGATGGTTGGAGTCTTTTGATGCTGCATGATGGCTTCTTGGAGCTTTCTTAGTTTGAAGTCTTTGAGGGTTTGGATTAAGTCCCACTGGATGCTGTGGCTGGGGTTGTCACGGATATGGTCTGATAGAGCTGACTTAGAGTCAGCTATAGAGACTGGACTTCGATGTTCTATAATTTGGCTCCATGTTTGGCAGTGGTAATTTTGTTTGGTAACTTACGTTTCAAGTCCTTGTCCACATTGAATGGGCCGTTCTGTACAAACAGCCCAAACAAGGAGCTTGTCCCTGGGCCTCCATCAAGCCACAGTATCAGGGGAGCTGTAGAGGGGTCCGCATGCTGTAATCGGATCCATCATTACTCATAAACAAATGTGGCTAAATGTGTCCAGTCACTATCTCGTAAAAAAACTTTCAAATCTCGAGTGCCGTCATCCTGTTGTTTTTACAGGGCTTCATTAGTACAACTTCTCTGGAGGGACTTTCTCCAGAATATCCCTGGCCTGGGGTTATTCTATAGAAAGTCCCTCAGTCCCAGGGATTGTCCCTCTTTAGAAATTTATTTTGCATTTGTTCACAAGTTTCATATTAAGGATATTGAGTGGAATGTTGTGAATCTAGTTAGATCAATGAATCTTTGTTAATCACACTCAACATGCAATAATAAAATACTTCCTTTCAATGGCATTATGGCACTTACATAATTGAAAAGTTTCTTCCTTTGATAATGTGTTCTCTATAACACATAGTAGTTTCACTGGTAAATCATTACATATACCATATTTCCTCCATTAGATGCCAAACCAATACACATCAGTCTCTAACTGATACAGAGTCATCAATCTGTACATAATATAAGCCAGGTCTCTATTATACACTCCATCACTTGATACAATTAATGATCCCTATCATATCAACTTACGGCATGTAATGATCTCCACGTGTCTTTGGAAACAGCATGTCAAGGGAACATGTGCTTCATATCATAAATTGAACACAATCGTCTTCATAAAAAAACATGAATATGTTGACTTTTATTCATGACTGACTTTTCAAATGTATTTCTCCATTTCTCTCTTAAAATGACATAAAGGCACATACGAGAGTAATATCTTTCCATGGGGAAAAAACCCATCAAAACTCATTACTTTGTGTATAATGCGCACCCCCTTCTACACAGCTGTGTTTTGGGGAAAAAAAGTGCGCACTATACTCAAGAAAATACAGTACTAGCCAATTAGATAAACACACAACTCCAACAGTAGTTGTCAACTTACACACACCCATCTATAGTTTAATGAACACTGACTGACACTGAGTTACCCTTTCATCATGCCGCTTCCTTCCATTCTTATACCAAATAACCTGTGCAGAAGTAGCTGGTACTGTTTGGTAATCTCATCAACAGGGTGTCACCAAACTTTCCAGGTGCAGCTATGGTTAGTGTTAGCTTTCAAGATTTACAGTACATAGGTCTATGAAAGTCAAGACTGAACAGACTTCATGGAAGAGTTTTCTCCCCTTGTCAGAACTTGGCTGCCATGGATGCTGATGAGTTTTCAGCCTGCTAAGACAAACCAGGGTAAACATCTTGAATGATCATTTTCAATAAAAATGTTTGGTTTGTGTATTCACTGAGTTGTTGTAGTTTACCTGGGCTGGTATGAACCAGAAGTACAGGTTGCTGTTGTAGTGTGTGTTGACGGTGATGAAGCCAGTGTAACCCACTACCGATGAGTCTTGCAGGGGACCCACACGACTCAAGTTCTGGGCTGAAACAGCAGGCATTGAAAACAATGAATACAAACTGGCTTGAACTGACAAAATAACTCAACAATTGTAGTATAACTGACAGATATTCAAAACATCAAAAACAATCTGTCATTGATATTATAGTTCTCTTTATATAAAATACTCAACTCTGGTAATATAATGTAAGACAACAGCATCAAAAGAAGCAGTTGGATGAAACACAGAGGTGAGGTGAGGTGAGCTGGTGAGGTGATGTGAGGTAGGTGAGGTGATGTGAGGTGAACTGGTGATGTGATGTGATGTGATGTGATGTGATGTGAGGTGAGGTGAGGTGAGCTGGTGATGTGATGTAGGTGAGGTGATGTGAGGTGAACTGGTTATGTGATGAGATGAGGTGAGATGTGAGGTGATGTGAGGTGAGGTGAGGTGATGTGATGTGAGGTGAGGTGAGGTGAGGTGAGGTGAGGTGAGGTGAGGTGAGGTGAGGTGATTTGATGTGATGTGATGTGGTGATGTGATGTGAGGTGATGTGATGTGATGTGATGTGAGGTGAGGTGAGGTGAGGTGAGGTGAGGTGAGATGAGGTGAGCTGGTGATGTGATGAGAGGTGAGGTGAGGTGAGGTGAGGTGAGGTGGTGTGGTGTGGTGTGGTGTGGTGTGGTGTGGTGTGGTGTGGTGTGGTGTGGTGTGATGTGATGTGATGTGAGGTGAACTGGTGAGGTGAGGTGAGGTGAGGTGAGGTGAGGTGAGGTGAGGTGAGGTATATAGCCCCCTACATGAATGTTTGTATCTGGCTGCTTGTACAAGTCAGGGCATTGAGATAAACATAATGTAACTAGCTGCATGTTACAGCTTCCATGCACACTGGAATGGTATGCTGTCATGTTACAATGGATGACGTCACATGCTTCCATGACAACTGAATTCACTCAGCTGGCAAAACATGAAAACAAAGACAAAAACTAAATAAAAGTTGCACTGATAAATATTGATCAATTGTTTGTTTCCATTTTTTCTCTCTATCTCAAAATAGGTATACATACACAGCTAAAAGTCAGAAACATTATCTGGATGCCATCCCATTTAACAATAGATTGCAGCACAACTTCCTGTTCATTTCATAATGTGATGTGACAATATATAAAGCTCTGTTCGACCATGGCAGTGTGAACTAAACATATGTGATACTTTCAGGGCCAAGGCACAATGAAGTCAATTTTCATCTTCGACATCAATCAACACTGTCATCATTGCTGAAGTTCTAGTGTGAAGATCCGGGGTTGAACAGGTCTTTAGCAACCCCATGCTTGCCGTAAAAGGCAACTATGCTTGTCGTAGGAGGCGACTAGCGGGATCGGGTGGTCAAGCTCTGACTTGTTTGATGCATGTTATCGTATCCCAATTGCCTGGAGCGATGCTCATGATGTCAATTGCTGGATTGTCTGATCCAAACTCGATTATATACAGACAGCTGTCATATAGCTGGAATATTGCTGAGTGCGGCGTTAAACATCAAACACTCACTCACACCAGTAACCATCATCATATTCTTATTCATGTTATTGAGATTTCTCTGAAGTATGTAACTCCAGACTTCTCTCTTGTGTGAAGAAGTGTATCAGTGTTTACTTAGGTAAAAGACACACACCATTGCCTTTCAAATATTTATTCTCAACATGTTTCTTTTAACAAATTCCAAATTCAAATTTTTCCAAACAATTTATGTGTTATTTTCACAAGTTATGTAAAAGATTGTCTGGCTACAGGTATTTGTAATTCACATGACATCAAGCTACCCTGACCTGTTGTAACAAGATGCTTGCTGTGTACACAAAACACATATAATAATTATTATCAAATAAACTGATCTGATCACAGTTACTTTCCCCCTAAGGTAAATATTCGACTCAGTGTTGTAAGGACTGTATCATATTCTACTGAACCCCCCCACCCCCCACCACTAATTTCATGTTACATTTGTTTCCTGACACCTCCCCCCACCACTCCTATAATAAATGACGAGTCTCTTAATAATGTTCAAACAATCTTTTTTTTCAACTGAAAAAAAATGGAACTGTGTCATTTTTCCATAGCCCATCTACATAGTAGTGATAAATGTAGGACTGTACCATGTGTTACTGACACTCCCTACCACCATCCCCCTGGTTGTAAAGTTGTGCAAGAGAGCAGTGCTGACCTTGTTGAATGTCTCCTCTAGCGATGTAAGGAGACAGGAAGAGTGGTTGTCCTGGATCCACTGAGCTAACTGGTCCTCCAAGGAGGAAGCTGTGAGAAATGGAGACAGACCCACACAGCACCAGCACCAGCACAGCAAACATGGCCGACATCACGCAGGAGGGTAGTAGAAGGTAGATGTTCTGCGGCTGTGAAACATGAGAAAATGGCAGGGCCCGTTCCACAAAGAGATCTTAGCGCAATGACTGTTGCATGTCAGTGTTAAAGAATGGGAGTTATGAGAGTCTTAATGCTAAGATCACTTTGTGGGGTCCTGGAAAAAAAAGTCTCAGGTACGCCACATGTTTTGATAAAGTTGTTTCATGATCTGGCTCATGATGTGCCTCCCTTCCCAAATGGAGTTGGTAGTTGCAGTCCACAGATGGTTTGCCCAGATTTGAGAACTTACAGGGTGTCATGATAAAGTATTGCTGACTTTGGCATAAAACAACATTCAGCCATTCATGGAAACGATCGTAAAACACAAGTAGTTTTGAAAGACAAACCAGTAAAACTGTGGTTGAAGACAATGTCAGACACTTAAATAAATCAAGGTTGATGCAAAGTCATGTACATGTAACATGTAGACTGTCTTACCTCATCAGTGACTTCTCATCACATTGTGTGTTCACGTAGCAACACAATGACCCTGCAGCCTCCAAACCGAGCACCTCTGTAACATCAAGTGATGAACATTTAGATCAAGTCACAGCAACTTATCTACACTAACCCCACAGACATATTCTAGTTTCCGAGCACTGCAATACCTAGGGTTACTTCAATAGGTGCAGTGAAAAGGAAATGACACCAAGAGCTTTACTGTCCTGGCGATGGCCTAGCTCCAGTCCTCAACTCTACACTGATATTGACACTTTTCTGCTGTACCCTATATTCAGGCTGAGTAATATGGGTCCGATAACACTTCCTTGTTGCTTACATCCTGTGTTGAGCAGCTTAGTCATCAACACGAAAAATCTCATAATCATCAGGTACCAGGATGTTATAGGAATATTTTCCTGCACTATGTCAGTTACATGAGATCTCTTATCATAAACCGATAGCCCCGCCGTGAGGCATTATTTGTTAGATTTTCTTCCCTGTCTGTCCCCCCACCCCCCACCAAATACTCTTTGCATCTTATTTTCCTCAAGAAATACAAACTGAAAGAAAATCACTGTCCCCTTCTTACTTTTCTTGAGGAAATACACCCGTTGTGTCATATGCATAACAAGCATCATAACACAGATGCCTTGAACAGTTTGTTTATATAAGGAAAAAAGAAGTAAAATGACTCCAGCCTCACAATTCTGAAAACACTGGTTGAAAATCAAATAATTAATTTCTAAGTTTATCCTGTCAAAGTTTCCAGCTTCAAAAAAATGTCCTTGGGTCCATTGAAGGACACTATACAGCCTGGGGAGGACTCAATCTCATTGAAATCAGATCTCAGTTCTCGCTGCTGCTAAACAAAGATCTGAGGACATCCCATTACGGGTCACGTCAGACCGACCTTTCGCGAAACTCTGACCGACCAATGGAATTACTGACAAGAAGTCGACATTAGCCAATCAGATGGCAGCTTTCTCTTGCTTTACGGCACTAATTGCAAATTGGCGACTACGCTTCGAAACATATTTTGACAAATTCTCTCTTAAAAATTTTAAACCTGAACAAAAGAACATTCTCGAATGGCTAATATATGGTCTAGATTGTATAGATTCAGTCGTTAAGCCTGAAACTATCGTTCGGAATACCCCGTTATAAAGTTTTCGAGGCTGCATGATCAGAAATCACATTCCCACTGTCACTTTCATGATCTGGTAAGCGACACTCTGATTGGTCGGATGAAAGGTCGTTCTGACGTGACCCCTTATGGGATGTCCTCAGATCTTTGTTTAGCGAGAACTAAGATCTGATTTTAATGAGATTGGGGGAGGACTTCGATCCTCGTAGTAAGGAGTAAAACAGGGACTTAGTAAACCCCTGAGATCCCGATGAGCGGGCACCAACTGAGGATAACAACGTTCTTCTCATGAGTCTCAAGATGCTTTTTCTACTCATGTAGGAGGTCCACTGTAACCTGCAGGTTTGTGTCCTTTTGCACTTCTTGTGCTAAAGGCTTCACTGAGTCGTTGAGGAATTGATCATCCCAAAGGCAGTGTTGCAAGACATCACAGGTATGGAGAACGGTGACCGAGGATGCATGGTGCCATAGAAGATCTAGAATGGCCGTGATCTTGTCTTGAAGGAGAAGCACATCACCATGAACATAGGCCTCATCATGTGACTGATGAGACAAGAAAGACGAGAGAGGTTCCGTTGGCGACAAGACTGTAGAGATGAGTGGTAAAGTACAACGTACAGATGAATAAAAGTGCCTGGGGTCTGGATCCTCGACCACAGGGGAGGTACATGGTTTGGAGTAACCATCCCAACCACATGTGAGATCTGAACAGAAGTGGTAACGTGGATAATTACAAGTCATAAGATCGTCGAACAGGAGCATCCACCTCCAAACCCAAACCCAAACTGGTGATCAAGAGCGTCGAGTCGTACCAGTAACATTGGAATGCCAATCCTGTGAATGGGAGCATTGATCCCTGAAAATCACCAGAGCGTTGATCCTTGGACTTGCAACCAGGAGAGCACCATGATGAGGCATCTCCTTTGGAGGACGAGTGTTAGGCGAAGGAGTGGAGGCTACGAAAGCAGTGAGCCTTGAATAAAGGTTTGCGATTGATCGACTATTTCCCGAGAGTTGACGACATTATGATCAGAGGCGGGAGCATGTATGCGGGACTGTCCATGTCGGTGACAACATTATTTGAAAAAAATTCAGAGATTGCATCATCGATGACAGACAAGATCGGTATCTGTGATTCTGCGGCAGGGAGGGAGGCAGAAGTCTTGCCAGATGAAACAGTAGACTTTCGACGACTTGGACTTCTTACCAGAGTCTTTAGACTTTGACCCACAGTCCATCTCCCTGCACTTGAGGAGGTAAGTTGAGAACCAGAGTCCTGCAGGTGATGACACTCAGCACACTTGTAGGTCAAACTACACTGTCCAGGGCAGTCACAACAAAGGGTATGAGGGCCTGAAGTAGAATAAGTACGATGGCATCACCCACACACCGGGCGCAGCAGCCAGTCCTCTCTCCGCATTACTGTAGGCGGTCCGGTAGCCTAGTGGTTAAAGCGTTTGCTCGTCACGCCAAGGACCCGGGTTCGATTCCCGACATGGGTACAATGTGTGAAGCCCATTTCTGGTGTCCCCCGCCGTGATATTGCTGGAATATTGCTAAAAGCGGCGTAAAACCGTACTCACTCACGCATTACCGTAAGATAGTTACACATTCAAAACAAAGAGAAAGATGCACCCAACAGAAACCAAATTGTATTCTCTCAGCCAGAAACTCGTCTTCACAATATAGTGATGGGAGAGAGAATGAGTTGGCAGAGACGGACACATCATCAGGTCGTGTGAGGTCGTTGTACATGACCTTGTTGTTGGATGGTATTCTGGGATGTGTTTTGGGTGAATTGTTTTTTATAAACTGGAAACTTTGTTCAAGCACGTTTCGACATAGGATCGAAAGGAAGGAAGAAATGCATATTGCCAGACAGGATAAGTGTATAAATATACAATTTATAATAACATTACCAAATTTATTATGGTCTTATGGTGGGTCATGTTTCATGATGTATTGCAGGAAAATATTCTTTGTACATCCTGGTGGCTTATGAGTTTATTTATTTTCAAGAATTAACAATTCAGATATAAAGTGTTTAAAGTCCAGGTCTCTATTAAGAAACTTCCTTGACCATGACAAATAACACTTGAAACATGTCCAAACATGTGATGGGTTCTCCTGTACATGGCGCAGGTTGCATAAACCAATGTGTTCCTTGCACACTACCGAAAACAGGAAGTGAAAGATGCATAATTGCCTATGGTGTTGGATTTAATATTTTACTATCTGTGAACTATGAATATCAAACTCACTAGTAGTAGTACTGCATTCTCATTAAAGTCATATCTATTACTCTGATCCCATATAATACTTCTCTGCATGAAGATAAATCTAATTAAAATCTAATCTATTACGCTGGTACATGCATACTTCAGTCCTAGCTCTCTCCATGAAGACCTGAGAACACTTCCACGGGAAGTCACCTAAACTTTCTTATAAGCCAATCCGTGTCAAGGCTCCTAAATTCTCTGATAAGAGTGAGCAAAACATTCGGAGCAGGATATCTCATTTCAAGATAACAAAAACAACATAAATGGACAATTCTAAATGGAAAATAACAAAGTTCAAAATTTAGAATTCAAGGTGGTTAGAAAAAATGAAATGGGATTTAGAAAGCTGACGTGTGATTGGCTAAGAACCAACATATTCTTAATTTAGTTGTATTAAACTCAACCATATATTTGCATGAATAAACATTGGTAGTATGACATAAGTTGAACTGATTTCACTGTGATTATATATTTTACAATATATTCTATATGTTTTCAGCTGGTTTGGTGACATTGCCTATTATACTTTGAGGAACTTGCACATTATACATGTTATAAGTACATTTTATATGGTAGTTTAGCACATTGTAGCAGAGCCTGGAGTCATCCCACGGATGATATCCTTACCATGTCAGCTTGCTGACAGGGTTAACCTCATTGGTCGATGGGGTCAGACTCAGAGAGCATATAATAGATAGGTGACATTTGTGCATAAAGGAACGCCTAAAAAACTCTAATTATAGTAATAATAAAAAGCCAATCATGTAGGTCAATGAGTAGAACGCGTTCCATTTTGAAGGGACCACATTTGTGGAAGGTGGATCAGCACAACATATGGAGCTTGAAATGGGAGGAAAAGTTTCCAAAGTAACTCATATCATAACAAGGAATAAAACTTGTTCGTAAACATACTTAAGTATCCAGGCTCCTCACAGCGATAACTCATTCTATGCGACTATCGGGAAGCCGCCCGAAGGTGGCACGCGATGATCAGAAGCTTGGACAGATAGTGACTGGGATCCTGTCTACTAAAATGAATAACCAGCGCTAAAGCTTGTAACACGAACAATCGGTGTAACCAGTTTATAACTGACCTAAAAAAACGGCCTTACGACAATAAATATTAAAGGTAATATAAATCAACAATAATTTGTTGTGTTGTTAGCGGCCAAATAGAGAGATATGATGCGTTATTTATGATAAAGGAAGTCAAAATACTAAAATAAAGAAATGGGCCGAAAACAACAAGTGTCGTAACAAGGAAGCACGACACTTTTGGATAACAGCATGTTTCGAGAGTCTTTCATCACAGTACAGTACAGATTGTTACAAGGAGGGTTGTCAGAATTTTGAGGTAATGTCTGTAACTGTATAATTTAATCGCTAGTGATGCTTAGATTGTCGTGGAGTCATTTTCGATTCCTTTCAACACATGACAAGTACTGCGTCAGCACTGTCAGTGTCACACTCACAGTGTGCAAATTGAGCACGTTCATGATTTTGAAAATACAGGAGTTCAATATGACTGTCGTTGCTCTATTAAGCAAGACTGCAAGGTATCGGCTTCCGGTTGTTGCTCTCGCTTCGCTACTGATCTGCGTACTTTTTCGATCCTCAGGGTTCATTATCCTTAGTCCTTGTATCCTCTTTAAGACCATTAGTGTTAGGTACCACTTGATCACTGACCAGGTAGACAAGCACTTATTATTTGTGACAGCTCACTGGTAACGTGCTGGCGGGAGCAGTGCACTTTACCGGGCACACTTTTTCAGATCCAAATACTGCTGTGGGGGCTTGGACGTGCTTCCCACGTTCGACAGCTTGCTCTGCCATTGGACCACGAGTGCTATCACATGTAATCAGTTCTCATTTAACGGGTCATTAGCACCCCTTTAAGTAAACAATGAATTGTGCATGGGTGTGACGTCACGCTCAGGGCTCCCATTCATCTTTTCTTGTAGTCACACCCACCATTGATGAACCATTCCCTATGACCAAAAAAGGGCTATTGAATCATAAAGGCATGTCAATTTCCCTAAGACCGAAAAGGGGTCTTGGATCATAAAGGTGTGTCAGTTTACCTAAGAGTGAGACTGAAAAGGGGTCTTGGATCATAATGGCGTGTCAGTTTCCCTAAGAGTAAGACTGAAAAGGGGCCTTGGATCATAAAGGCGTGTCAGTTTACCTAAGAGTGAGACTGAAAAGGGGTCTTGGATCATAATGGCGTGTCAGTTTACCTAAGAGTAAGACTGAAAAGGGGTCTTGGATCATAATGGCGTGTCAGTTTACCTAAGAGTGAGACTGAAAAGGGGCCTTGGATCATAAAGGCGTGTCAGTTTCCCTAAGAGTAAGACTGAAAAGGGGTCTTGGATCATAAGGGCGTGTCAGGATCCCTAACAGTGAGACTGAAAAGGGGCCTTGGATCATAAAGGCGTGTCAGTTTCCCTAACAGTGAGACTGAAAAGGGGCCTTGGATCATAAAGGCGTGTCAGTTTCCCTAACAGTGAGACTGAAAAGGGGCCTTGGATCATAAAGGCGTGTCAGTTTCCCTAACAGTGAGACTGAAAAGGGGCCTTGGATCATAAAGGCGTGTCAGTTTCCCTAAGAGTGAGACTGAAAAGGGGTCTTGGATCATAAAGGTGTGTCAAGATCCCTTGATTACGTCATAAAGTGCATGGCAACATATTGTTTAGAGGCTCGAAAAGAGATGAGGCTTGAAAACAGGTTACCTGGGGATATATATATTATAACATCACTTGCATTTATCATGTTTATTTTAGAAATCCTGCACACCTGTAAGCATGGAAGAGACGAACTGCACTGACTCTGGTAACCCTGCTAGCACAGAGAAACTGGCAGACCCTGGTAACACAGAGAAACTGGCAGACCCTGGTAACACAGAGAAAGTCGCAGACACTGATAACACGGAAAGAAGGGGAGACCCTAGTAACCGTGGTAACAGTGAAAAATTAGCAGATCCTGGCAACACAAGTCAAGAACAAGTAACAAGCTCAAAGGTTGATGCGACAACCATGAAGAGGCCAATGGAGGATGAGGGTGGCATACATGACACTCATGTTCAACTCTCCAAGGAACAAATACAGATGAACTTCCGCAAGCCAAACATGGCCTGGATAAAGCCACAGTAAGGAATCTTTCATTGTTTTTAGTTGACCTGTACCAACAGTACAAGGTGTTCAGCAATGGCATCTGTGATTTAGTGAAGCCTGTGTCAAATACTTTTGAGTCTGCTAGCCCAAACCTGGCTCTAAGCATCATTTTCAGCAGATTTTTATGTTATCATATGGACTATTAATAGCTTAGCTTACGAGACCAAACACAATTTCACTTTCGCTTCAGACTAGTGGCTAAAGTCACAATACCATTATGTAAAACAGAAATGTAAATACAGAATTGTAGAATATCAACCTTACCCCGTTGTTCATGCCTTGGACCCCCAAAATGTAATACTGAGAGGACCCATGAAGATCCGGGCTAGAATTGGTTTTTAGCAACTCATGCTTGTCGAAAGAGGCGACTATGCTTGTAAGAGGCAACTAATGGGATCACTGGATTGTCTGGCCCAGGCTCGATTATTTACAAACTGCCGTCATATAGCTGGAAGATTGCTGAGTGAGGCGCTAAACAACAAACAACCAACCAAATAATACTGAGAGTCCCTGGACGTGAAAATAGATAGACGCAGGTAAATCCCTGCACTTTGTATGATTAAGTAATACTTTGTAGTTACCATTGTTAATGGAGATTGCTTCTTGTAAGGTACATCCTGCCAAGAGAAAGTCAGGCGGCTTCACACAAGGCATCCGAGCCGCCCCCCAAGAAGCAGAAGACAACTGGCCGCAACCGGAACCGACCTGTTGACCGAGGACCCCCAGCAGCAGAAAAAATCTGTCCCTCTATCATTAGGGAACGAGACTGTGTGTATGGGAGCTCATGCAAATTCTGCCACGATGTTGGCAAATTTATGGCTAATAAACCTCCTGACATTGGTGATAAGTGCTATGTGTTTGAGAAATATGGACGATGCTTACAAAGTGTAGCGTGTAGATACGGCAGTAAGCATATTGATTCAGACTTTAAGAACGTCACCAATAAGGAACTCTATGGTGAAATCTTGAAAAATCCATTGACTATAAACTTCCTTGAGAAAGATGTACAGAAGCTTCTTTGGAAGAAGAAGTATGATTTTAGCACGGCCAATGGAAATGTCAAGAAGGTTCAGGATTGGTATAATCACAGAAAGGCAGCCAATGAGCAGAGAAAAGTCATGGAGGAGAACGGTAAACCGTTAGACGCCAAGGTTCCCTCTGAAACATCAGAGAGTCCCAGAGTTGATGGTACTACCCCGGCAGCTGGGGTAGAGAGTAGGGCTGAGGCTGACCAGAGTGGTCCTCCACAAGCAGGTCAGGGACACTTAGGCTGTGTGACTGATGAAGATCTCATAAAACTTCGTCCAGTGGAGAAGAAAAAGGTTTGGACAAATTTTGAAAGTTTCATTTTTACATTGCTGGCATCTCTTAAGGAATTAACCATGACAACATGTATAATTGTCCAAATGATGATACAAACACAGATTTGCATGGTCTGTTAACTTGAGGCAGGGTTTTAGATCTAATCATTTTCTTGGATGCTGACTGGTTGTCATTAAAAATGTCCTGAGAATATTTTTCAAATATGGTAATGATTAAGTTGATAATGAAGAATGTTGATAAGATCATGAAAATGCCCGAATACCATTTGTCCCTTACAAAAGCTGTGTTTAGATAACCATTACCATTAACAAATATGTTTGTAACAAGAACCAACCAAAGAAGTTTGGCTGTTGCCATGGTTACAATGTATGACCTGTCCCCAATGTCTCAGAACAAACTGAAGGTTTTACTCAAATTTCGACCTGTGTTTGAGATTTGAACTCAGCTGAGTTTTTAACCAGTCTTGTCAAGTTTAATTAAATTTTAGTAAAAATTCAAACTGAAGTTTGTTTCAAAAGATATCAGCATGATCAGAGCCTGTCTAAGTTTGTGCCATGCTCATGCTTTCCATCACTGGTTTGCCTAGCACGCTCGCGTTAATTTCAAGATTTACAGTATATGATGATGGTCTGTAAAAAATCAAGTCCAGACAATCTAGTGATTAACATCATGAGCTTTGATTTATGCGATTGGGATACAATGACATGCATCAAGCAAGTCATCGAGACAGACCACACAATCCCATTAGTTGCCTCTTACGACAAGCATAGTTGTCTCTTACGGCAAGCATGTGTTGCTGACGACCTATTCTCTACCCGGATCCTCTGAGCTAAAGATGGATGTACATAAATGTGTACTGCTATGTAATCAGCTAAGCATGTTTGCAGTCCCACATGAAGATTCAGGTTAGAATTGGTCCTCAGCAACCCATGCTTGTTGTCAGAGGCGACTAGCGGGGTCGGGTGGTCAGGCTCGCTGACTTGGTCGATACATATTATTTTGTCCCAGTTGCGTAGACTGATACTCATGATGGCTTGATCTGGTTCAGACCCCATTATTTGCAGACGGCTGTCATTCACCTGGAACTTATTGATGTGTGTTATGTTGACAGTTAGACCTGCATGGCAAGCTGTACCTGGCTCCACTGACAACTGTAAGTACAAAATGCAGGCTGCTACTACTATTTATTCACCATTCCTCTTTATCCATATTCCCTGTTATAAGCAAGTCATGAAAATAAAAGTTCATGTAAACTTGTTAATGGCATATTTATATTGAGGTTTACCTAACTTAATGTACAAGTCAAGCCTTGGGTAATGTCAGACAACATTTTTAGTGGTTACCATGTTTTGGGGATCTAACGACCATAGCCAAAACCACATGAGAAATATAATGAATTTTTTTCAAATTATTAATCGCCTCTCACAGTTCCTCATTTTATGGATTAGAGATATTAAAAAATACCACTACAAAAATCATTTAAAATACAGGGATCTGTTAACATCATAACCATAACTATATTTTGTAGTTATTATTGTTCAAATGCATTGTAGCATGTTTTAGTATGCTGAGTGTCCTGCACTTTAAATAGTATTTGGATGTTTTCCCCATAACACCAACTTAACCAAACTGCATGCCAAAATAAAAATTAAATGATTAATATATTTCTATTTTGACTGGCCCAAGCTAATTGGTTAAGGCTGTACACCATTAAGTCTTAAAAGTGTATCTGTGGTCTTCTTTCTGTATCAGACCGCCTCCGTGGTCTAGTGGTAGAGCATCCGCCCGGAGAGTGGAAGATCCGGGGTTTGATCCCCGGCCGCGTCATACCAAAAGACGTTAAAAGATGGTACTTGTTGTTACCCTGTCTGGCACTCAGCATTAAGTGGCTAAAACAAGGACTGGTCGGCTCGGAGTCAGTATACTGTGTCTGAGTGGGGTATTCATGTTAAACTGCGGCATGGTATCTCAGTGAGCTAGCACTATAAGTCGGCATCAGTCCGGACTACAGTCCGTTTGACTCCAAATGAGAACGATGAATTGCAAAATAACTCGAAATCCAGAAAAGTGTATGAAACATCAATACGGTACTTGACCATGAATACCCTGTACCCAACAAAATCTGAATTTTGTTTATTTTAAGACCCATGACGGATCATGTAGTTTTGTATAGAAATGTGTACATGACACGTAGGGGGGACAAACCGTGGAAGGCACAGCGCAAGCACGGTCTGCACGTGCTACACAGTGACCGTGTTCATTCAATGGCAAGATGTGCTACTCAGCAGATGTTAAACAGTTGATGTTGAATGTGTATGATTTCTTTAGAAGTGAAGCAGAAAGAGCAAAGCCTTTTTATGCAATTAATAAATTCTTGAAACGAGCTTCAAAAGCTCTTGGTATGTCCCCTCAGAAACTTAAAAATGTTGTTAGTCGACGAGATACAAATAGTCAGGCCAAGCAGGTAGGGAACATGTCAAAACCACGCAAGGTTGATAAATTAGACAGTTTTCAGAGGGATCAAGTCAGACGTGCAATTGTTAAACTGCACTCAGAAAATAAGTACCTGTCCCTAAGAATTTTGAAGAAACACCTTGAAACTGACCATGATTTACGTGTTACAAAGTACAAACTATGGCAGCTGTTGCATACATTTGGTTACAAACACAAAAAGATAAGTGGAGAAAATAGGTCTGTGTTGTGTGAACGGTCTGACATTGTTCGTCTCCGAAATCATTACCTTCGTTACCATCAAGCAGAAACGTGAAGAAGGATATGAGCCCGTCTTCTTAGATGAGACATGGGTAAATGCGTCACACACAGCCAGCAGTCAGTGGGTACCCAGTGGTGACTGTAAGGAGTCTGGTAGAAAGTTACCAATGGGAAAGGGTGAAAGACTCATAGTTCTCCATGCTGGTTCTGCTAGTCCGGGTTTTCTCCCAGACTGTGACCTCGTCTTTAGAGCCAAGGCCAAAGACAACAGGGACTACCACACAGAAATGAACGGCAATGTATTTCTGGAGTGGGTGAAAGATAAATTAGTCCCTGCTTTGTCTACCAAGTCTCTCATTGTCATGGACAATGCACCGTATCATAGTGTGCAGGATCCAGAAAGCAAGACTCCAACCTCTAATAACCGTAAAGGAGACATGGTTACTTGGCTGCAAGGGAGGAACATTACCTTTCCTTCTCGAGCGACGAAACCACAGCTCTATGAAATCATCAAAACTATGAAACCTGACCCCGTGTATAAAGTTGACATTTACATCAAGGGTCTTACGCTGTCTTACACAACGTTCAAATTACGAGACGTTGAACAACTCGTAAAGGAATCCCTTGGTCGGGTAACAGTAGAAACATGGAGGCGTTGTGTGGCCACAGTCATTGACGACATAGAGCCACGTTATTGGTCACGAGATGGACTACGGCCAGCAACAGTCCAACCTATAATAGTGGCAGTCGGTTCAGGCACCAGCAGTTCCGACGATGAGATCTATGGCATGAGCGAGTCAGATTGCGACTGAAATTATCATGAGACGGCCCCTCTAACGCTCTGTCATTTCCCCTACCACAGAATGTGCAGTGCATGCGTGCTTGCGCTGTGCCTTCCACGATTTGTCCCCCCTACGTGTCATGTACACATTTCTATACAAAATTACATGATAGTTTCTTAAAGAACTTCATCCGTCATGGGTCTTAAAATAAACAAAATTCAGATTTTGTTGGGTACAGGGTATTCATGGTCAAGTACTGTATTGATGTTTCATACACTTTTCTGGATTTCGAGTTATTTTGCAATTCATCGTTCTCATTTGGCGTCAAACGGACTGTAGTACAAGCAGCCACACAAACACACACGTACATGCACGTCGCATAGTCTGTCTTACAGACCCTGATACAAATATATATCAAATACAGCCCATGCAAGTCTATAATGTTTGGCAAGTCTAGATCACTGCAGTATCAAATGAAGAGAGTCACTGGGCTCCTTTTTATTATATTTTTATTAAGATAACTGAACAACTGGTTTTTTTTATGTACGATATGTTCATTTCAGAGACTAGATTTTAGTCTAGCACGTCGCTATATAAGTACAATAATCTTGGACGTGACGTTAAACCCCATTTCACCTCACCTCACCTTCTTTCTGTATCATGCTGTATGGCAGAAGCTGTTGTGTAAGACAAGAAGCTGAGACAATGAGCTATGCATCGATGTGTCGGCCTCATATTCAGTGTGGAACATGATCCACTTGTCAACACATGAGGAGCTGGGTTAGAATAGGTCTTCAGCAAACCATGCTTGTCGTGAGAGGCGACTAACAGGAGCGGGTGGTGGGGCTTGGTGACTTGGTTGATGCATGTCATCGATCCCAATTGTGTAGATGAATGCTCATGATGTCAATCACTTGGTTGTCTGCTCCAGACTTGGTTATTTACAGACCACTTTCATATAGCTGGAATATTGCAGAGTGTGTAGACTAAAATCTAGTCTCTGAAATGAACATATCGTACATAAAAAAACCAGTTGTTCAGTTATCTTAATAAAAATATAATAAAAAGGAGCCCAGTGACTCTCTTCATTTTCAGAAATGATACTGCAGTGATCTAGACTTGCCAAACATTATAGACTTGCATGGGCTGTATTTGATATATATTTGTATCAGGGTTTGTAAGACAGACTACAGAGTGTGGTGTTAATCATGTTGAACAGTATACAAAGAAACAAACACACAGTGGGTAGTCAAATATGCTCATGGTACTCAAAGACCAATCCAAGGTCAGGAAGCCACTCCACAAAGCAATCCTTATGTTAAAGTGTGGGAGTTTTGATCATCTTAGAGCTAAGATTGCTTTTGGAATGGGGCCCTAGTCTTTTACTCTGATATGATACCTCTCTGTGTGAAGATGTGAGGACACCTCCATAGGACATCTTCAGGTGAACTTTCCAATCAGACAATCAGTACATGACAATGATGTATGTCCTATATTATACACCTCCATAGGAAATCTTCAGGTGAACTTTCCAAGCAGACAATCAGTACATGACAATGATGTATGTCCTATATTATACACCTCCATAGGACATCTTCAGGTGAACTTTCCAATCAGACAATCAGTACATGACAATGATGTATGTCCTATATTATACACCTCCATAGGACATCTTCAGGTGAACTTTCCAATCAGACAATCAGTACATGACAATGATGTATGTCCTATATTATACACCTCCATAGGACATCTTCAGGTGAACTTTCCAATCAGCCAATCAGTACATGACAATGATGTATGTCCTATATTATACACCTCCATAGGACATCTTCAGGTGAACTTTCCAATCAGCCAATCAGTACATGACGATGATGTATGTGTGTGCTCCAGGTGGGCAACCTGCCGTTCCGGCGTGTGTGCAAGGGTTTGGGTGCAGACGTCACCTGCAGTGAGATGGCCGTGGCCACCAAGCTGCTCCAAGCCAACCAGTCCGAGTGGGCGCTACTCAAACGACATCAGTCGGAAGACCTGTTTGGTGTCCAGGTCAGTATTGATGGCGGCACTTCTTGTTGAGGTCTGCTTGTATGTTGTGTTTTGTGTCAAACTGTCATGAATCGGGACGCCTTTATCGACATGTTTTAAAGTCAATTTATCATTAATATGAAGCAGTGCACCCAGGAGTCCTAGACTTAAAAATTCCTTTTTATGATATTTCATTAAGATTGATTAACAACTGTTTTCCTGTAAATATTTTCATTTCGGAGACTAGATGTTAGTCTAATTCTTTGCCTTAACAGACCCACTCAATCTCAATGCTTGTCAGGATGTGGTGGTTGCAGTGTAGGAATGTGTGACTTGGCTCTGACCTGGTGGCTAGGTCATGGCTTGTTTTGAGTCACTGCTTTTTCCTGATCCAGATTTGATAATTTACATGCAGCCTGCTAAAGCTGAAATCTCCCTCTCACAACTTAAGATGTCAAATGTATCATAAACCTAAAATAGTGATCAGTTTGCAGTTCATCACCACCTGATGTGCAGGCAGCTGATACACTTTGTGAAGGGATGCAGATCAGCATGATCAATGCTGAAAGCTAACATTCTGGGTTTCTAAGTTTGTCAGTACCATACCTGTGCTTGTGAGACCTGCATCACTTCTGGCTTTACTCCTACATTAAACTGACATGCTGTGAGATAACTGGAATAATGTTCAAAGCGGTGTTAAACCCAACTCACTCACTAAGAATTTGTATTGTTCTCAGGCACCGCCCGCATCATCATAAAGTTCGTCGCTCTTTTCGTTTTTATTTCCATTTAAAAAAAAATAATTTAAAAATCCTCAAATACTTCAAGTCCAAAGGTGGTCAAATACTGTATTCCAGTATTTTACTATCAAGGAATACATATATGTAGGGAAGCCCTTTCCCAGGTTGATTGTACACAATTGTTTATTGATTATACAACTGTTTATTGGTTACATACTAGTTGAACAACCAAAAAAAAAGAAAAAAAGACACCGCCCTCCCGCGCTATATTTTCAAAAAACATTGCCTGAGAACCAATTCTTTTATTTTTTTAAGCCTTAGTTTAGGATTATAATACACTTTTAAATAATTTTGAGGAGATGCCACATCTTAATGTGTCCAGCTTCCGCTGTTGGTGTTGTAGCTGTGTGGTTCCTACCCCGACACCATGACCCGCTGTGCCCAGCTGCTGACCGAGGTCACCACCATCGACTTCGTGGACATCAACTGTGGCTGCCCCATTGATATGGTTTATAAAAGAGTAAGGATCTGAATCTTGAATGACCATGGGAAGTGTTGAGGAAATTTTTCTCATAGTTATGCTCTTCACTATGACATGCTGTGTCCATGGTGAAAAATGTCTTTAATATTCTAGGGTGATCAATAACGATTTTAGTTTCACATGTTGTTTTTCACCTGTTTGGTTTTAGTGTTTCTTCATGTTGGTGGTGTTTGTCATGCTGTCAGAATGGAGGAGGGGTGGAGGGGTGGAGGAGGGGGTATGAGTAAGGTATGAGTCAGTGTTATCCAGTTGAGGAGATGTCAACTCTATGAGACCATATCCACAGCATTCCACCCAAAAGCCTTCCTAAAATGTCACATACACTATATGTAATCCATTATTAATAAATTTACTTTAACAAACAAGTCAACATTTTATCAGTGCCCCCCCCCCCCCCCCCACACACACACACACACACACACCATGACCACACACACACACACACACACACACGTATCTAACACTGGACTACAGACTCAATATCTCTGTCTCACTCACCATTGTACTTACTTACTCACTATCTTACTCTCTCTGTCTCACTCGCTTATCCCTCCGCCACCCAAAACAAAACTCACTCCTTCATTCGTTGTTGGGCAGGGGGAAGGTTCAGCGTTGATGTCCAAGCCCAATAAGCTGGAGCAGATTGTGAAGAGCATGACGACGGTGCTGGACGTGCCTCTCACATTGAAGATGAGGACTGGCATCTCGTCAGACAAGGACATCGCACACAACCTTATTCCCAGACTGCGGGACTGGGGTGTATCGGAAGTCACGGTCAGTAACTGTTCCCATTTAATAGTCTTTTAACAATACAGTAGTTACTAATGTTTTGAATAAAATTTTGATTGATCTGAATTGAATATGTATAAATCTGTTGTTAGCTGAAGACATTTTGTTTGATACCATACAGCATTGGACATGTTTTCTAAAAACAAATGGAGGTGACGTGCCATCTGATTATGCTGATTAGTTCTAGGATCAAACTTAAATGTTTATAGACATTTGTGAGTACCTGTAACCCTTCTTCCTGAGGCAAGGGAGTTAACTGACTGTAAAATTCCAGTTTCCACCCTAGCCAACCCTCAGTCGTAGCGCCAGCAGTGGCTATTAAAAGTTATGTCCCTTCTTTGTCCCTCCTATTGAATAATGAGATTGAACCTCTCATACCACTTGCATTTGCTTCAAACAGAATGTCAGCGCCCAGTCTTACCTCACATCAAATCACGGGCATCAAATCACCTGAGTACTTCAATTAAAAGCATGAAAGATTTGAAAAATATCTATTGACACCCATTGATGGTACACGCCCTGCAAATCCTTCAATTGACCCAAATCTGCATGGCAGGAACCATGTTGTTTTTGAACCTTCGGTTGATTTGTTACATGATTTTGATTGGACTATGCATTGAGTCGTTAGTCCAGCCAAGATATAACTCCATAATTCCAGCCTAGTTCGGCAAGGGTGGAAACTGGACTTTTACAGTCAGTTAACTCCCAGGCCTCTGGTAGATACCTGTAACCTGATATCTCAGTTCCAAATTGTTCATTATGTGTTATAAAGGGGGTATGTCTTTTAGTTTAGTTCATGTTTAAAGTAATAAACTTGCTGCAGATAGTGTGCTGTGTTTGCAAACAAAGAATTTGTTCTTTTTCACATATTGTTTACGTTTCTCTTGCTTTATGGTGTTCATGGACCCCATCAATGTATTATGACTCCAATATTTACATCCTGAAACCATAAACTGGAACTAAGACTTTAATTGAAGTTCCCAGCAGCATTTTATTGTGACAGTTGTTCAAAGAATACAACAGCTGTTTATTTTCAAACATTGAAAGTGACTGAAAAAGAAGAAGAATTATTGTTATTGAAACACTCATAAAATATCCCCAAGCACCCCACTTAACACTTCAAAATGAAATGCTGTTGTTCATGATAAATGTTTTTGAAAATAAAACAACCAATGTGCGTCGTTATGTTGGCTGGTATTTAGTGATAACAACTCTGGTCCTTGTCTAGCTCCACGGCCGGTCACGGGAACAGCGCTACACACGTCTCGCAGACTGGGACTACATCGACCGATGTGCTCAGCTGGCGGCACCTATGCCTGTGTTTGGTGAGTAGGGAGTGATGATGTTCTACCTGCAACAGCTGTTACAGCTGTGTCATGGTGACCTGTACATAAACCAGTGGTGGATAACATGAGAAACAACTCCACTCTGAGCAGGATGACTCGGCCCAATCTCATTAAAATCAGATCTTATTTCTTGCTACCGCTAAACAAAGGTCTGAAGACATCCCATTATGGGTCATGTTAGACTTTCGTGAACTTTGACGGACAAATTGAATGACTGACAAGAAGTCGGCATTACCCAATCAGAAGACACCTGTCTTGTACTTTATGGCACTAGTTTCAAATTCTTGATTAATTACTTGAAAACTAAACAAAAGAACATTCTGGAATGGCTAATAGATGACGTAGATTGTATGGATTCATTCATAAAGCCGCCCTTAACTGTCTTTCCGAATACCACATGTTAAATTTTTCGAAGATGCATGATTAAAAAACATCCCATCTGTCACTTTCCTGATCTGGTAAGCAACGCTGTGATTGGTCAGATGAAAGGTTGTACTGACTTGACCCATAAGGGGATGTCCTCAGATCTTTTTGAGCGAGAACTAAGATCTGATTTTAGTGAGATTGCAACCAGCCTGATCACACATTGAAACCATGTGATTCTCTTATTCCACCCACATGCCAGTTATAGGGCAATATTTGGCCCAGGTGTCCCCGACAGGCAATAAACTTTATTATACCTGACAGGAAAGTCTCTCAATCACATCTTGTACATGTAGGGATCTAGGTGGACAGCCGATGGCTGGGGGTTTGATCCCTGGATGCGTCTATTATAGAAATGCTACAAAATACCATCCTCAGTGTCATACACTTAGCCATGGCCAGTGTGCATGTCTGTGTGCATGTTTGTTGTTTTGTTGTTTAATGCTGCACTCAGCAATATTCCACCTGTGTGATGGTGGCCTGTTAATAATCAAGACTGGACCAGTGATTGACATCATGAGCATCAATCCACACAATGTGGAATATGAGGTTATCAGATCACAGAGTCTGACCACCCGATCTATTAGCCGCATCTAGCTATGAGCATCAGTTGCTGGGGACCAGAATACCCCTGGGGCGTATATATTACTGAAATGGTTGTCTGTGTTGTAGGGAATGGAGATGTCCTGTCCTATGAAGAGTACTACCAGCACTTGGATACCACAGCTGTAGGGGGAATCATGTTAGCCAGGTGAGAGGAGTGAGTGAGTGAGTGAGTGAGTTTGGTTTAATGCCACTTTACGTTGTAAGTCGGTTTGAGGTGGGATGAAAACCTGGTGATACACATTTTAGACATTTACCAGTTTGGTGAAACACACAAAAACACAATCAGGGCAAATGTCAGTTTTGAACCCATGATCATAGGTTTCTGGCACGCCTAAGGGACACAACTCTGCACAGCAAAATGTGCAAAACTGAGACGCCCATGCCTCCTTACAAAATAGCACATGCTCTATGTTCTGTGAAAAATCACTGGAAGCTTGAGATGTAACCCTCACCATGATGACTGTTTCTACTCAAAGCGTGAGCTTCACTGGTTCTAAACAGCATGTGACTGTTCTCATATCAATGTTAGTGCTAAAAATTGTTTAACATTCCTGAATAACAATTATTCGTTTTTCATACTGCCAACCTGATTTCACAAAACCCCTGCAAACACTGAAGAGTCTATCTTTATTTCATGGGTTTTTTTTTACCACTGACCCAACAAGCCTATGTTTTTTCGATAAACCAACTGATAAAAATGGAGGGCCTTGTCTGATATTGTGGGATTTTACAATGGCGTGTGATTTTCCATCGATTTCATATGAAGAGTCAATTTACATTTGCCCTGAGATGATAAAACTGAAAATGTTTTAACTCCTGAACTGCTTGTTTTAACGTGATAAAATCAGTCTCACAATACTTTTTATGTCAAACGAACATGACAGTTTCATGAAATAACTTGATCCCGTGCTTGTCATTGGCAGAGGAGCTTTGATCAAGCCGTGGATCTTCACCGAGATCAAGGAACGGCGTCACTGGGACATTGCAGCGACAGAGAGGCTGGATATTCTCAAGGATTTTGTCAACTTTGGCTTGGAGCACTGGGGGTCTGACCAGCAAGGTGTTGAGACTGTCAGAAAGTTTCTCTTGGAACAACTGTCTTTCTCATACAGGTACAGCTCACACACGAACATGGCCTTACCTTTATGTTATTGCAGGTCATCCATTCATATCGTCCACAGGTTTCATATTGTTAGCACATCAGCACTGAACGCATGGCACGTTGTCTATCTTTGAAGTATTGAACTTGCAATTACTTTGGCAATAACATACTTGCTGTCAGTTTGGTTGTATTTTGTTTGTTGTTTAATGCCACAGTCAGCAATATTCCAGCAATATGACGGCAGTCTGTAAATAATCCAGTGATTGACATCATGAACATCAATCCACGCAATTGGGATCAATGACATGCATCAACCAAGTCAGTGAGCCTGACCCCCCCCCCAAATCCTGTTAGTTGCCTCTTACAACAAACATAGTTGCTTTTTACTTTGGTTATAACATAGTTGCTACAGTAGTGGCACACGCAGGTGTATATACTTGGTATACTTGGTATACTTGGTATCCTTTGGCAAGTGACTTTGCTCGAAATGTGCCTCTGTTCACCCAGTAGTAAAAGGGTACCAGGTAGGAAGAGATGGCAGATTGGCTGTTAACCTTCTAGCACCTCACAGGCAGCTTGAGTTGAATACTCCCTAGGGAGCTGAGAATGATTGTTGGGTGCATGCTGATCCATTGACAAGGTAATAGTTAAGTGCACTTTGAGAAAACCCTATTGGGGATGGAAAACAGCGCCTTACAAATGCACTTCCTTGTTATTATTTGATTGGCTGACTCTGCTGGTTCTACCTGACTCACTCATTGGTTCTCTTGTTCATCAATAAACGTAGACCAGGATGGAAGTAATTAACTGCAACAAAATGTGTACATGGTGCATGTGCATGTTCACGTAAGGTGTTGGTCTAGATAGATCATGATAGATCAAGATAGATCAAGATAGATGTCAATACAGTTTGTGCTGTAAGAGGCAACTACCGGGAATGCTTGTCATCAGACTTGCTGACCCAGGCCTGTCATCGTATCCCAACTGCGTAGATCCATGCTCATGATGTCAATCACTGGATTATCTGGTCTTTTATTTATTGATCACCATATAGCTCGAATATTGCTGAGTGTGTCGTTAAACAATAAACAAACAATACAGTTTGTTTAGGATCTTATTATTTGTCTGCTTTGTTGTCAACTTACAAAGCTGTGTTATACTCACTCACTCACTAATAAAATATCCCAAAATGGAATCATACATACCTTAATTGTGTTAATGACATGTAGACATATAGTTAAAATAGGTGAATACTGAACTTTTATACTTTGTGTGGATCTGGATCATATAGATAAGCAGGTTTTAGGAAATTTAAGTAGGTAGGAAAATTTTAGCTTTCTTGGAAACAATGTTTAACTCAATACTACATTGGTTATGACACATGTGGTATTATTTGTTGGTTGTAGATACATCCCAGTGGGCCTCCTTGAGCGACTTCCACAGAGGGTGAATGAACGCCCACCTTGCTACAAAGGTCGTAATGACCTAGAAACTCTTTTATCCAGCCCAGACTGTTCTGATTGGATCAAGATAAGGTGAGTCGAGTTATGTAACCATAGTAACAGTGAACTAGTCGTCACTGAAACAACTCCTCAAGGCTGTATTCTCCAGGCGTCTTTTAAGGCATTCAAACTTGACATGCTTGATAGGTAAATACAACATGGAGACCCAGGCTTGATCGACAGAACATTATTTCTTAATTCAACCGCTATATTGCATGAGAGGCTATTCATTTGGATTGAGTGGTCAGGCTTGACAGATTATGACGCTGATCATAATATTAACCACTGGTTTGTCTAGCCTAGACTCAATTATCAACATGCTGCTGTGATATTGCTGGAATATTGCTGACTGGCAATTTCAAAACAATGAAATACATATCATATTATTTTTGTACAGGGTTAAGAACATGATATAGCTTTTTTTTGTGACTAGGTAGTTGGTAAGTGGGTAAGGTAGGTTTGTCAAAACAGCAGACTGATGAGAACAGGATGGTTGACAATGTGGGTGTGGCCTGGCTCATTGTGTGTTATTGTGTCCCAATGGCATAGGTTGTCTGTTCTAGGCTTGATTATTACAGGTCGTTATGAAGCTGGAATGTTATCATCTTCCCGAGGCAAGAGAGTTAACTGACTATAAAAGTCCAGTTTCCACCCTTGCCGAACTAGGCTGGTATTATGGAGTTACATTTTGGCTGGACTAACGAGTCTATGCATAGTCCAATCACAATCGCGTAACAAAATCGAAATCCATTTCGTAAAATGCCATGCAGATTTCGGTCGATTGCAAGTTTTGCAAAGCATGTGCACCGCCAAATCATTCTCAGCAGATATGTTCCAAATATTTCCATGTTTTTAATGAAGGTACTCGCGTGATTTGATGCGCTCAGCGATGTAAGACACATTTTATCACAATATAGATCTTCATTATCGATCAGATCGTCTTGACTGGGCGTTGCTATTTGTTTGCAAATGCAAGTGATACGAGAGGTGGAATCTGATTGGTCCATAGGAGAGGCATAGAAGGGACATAACTGGTGGCGCTACGATCGAACCCAGGTATTAGAGCCTAGTTTGGCAAACTGTACTTTTAAAGTCAGTTAACTCTCTAGCCTCGGGAAGATGGAATATTATATATGCAGCGTAAAACAACATTCATGCATTCATTCATTTTGTAAAGTGGTTGTCTTTCTGACTTGCAGTGAGATGCTCTTGGGTCCAACACCAGCTCAGTTCAGCTTTCTGCCGAAGCACAGAGCCAACTCCTACCAGTGATGGAGGACTACTCACTGATCAGAGCTGCACGTGAAGGATGTGATGCTGAATCAGGTGGACTGGATTACAGGCAGCAGTAACTCAAGTCCAGCTTGAGGCTTTGTGTGCCCCAACTCATCAGCTGGGGAATGTCAGTAGCTTACCAGGCCAATTGAGCTGAAGATGGAATAGCTGTTCCTGAAATACTAAGTAGCATCCTGTATGTGCAAACATGTAGAGAATATGTGAGCCTCACAAGACAAGATAAATCTTTTACAGAATATTTGAGCCTTGCCGGACAAGATGGATTTGGTAGACAATATGCAAGCTTCTCCAAGAGATAAGTAGAGAATATGTGAGACTGCAAGTAAGCCTCTCCAGACATGAGCTAAGTACAGAATATGTCAGCCTCTCAAGGCATAAGATAAATATCTAATATGTGAGACTCTCCAGGCATAGGTTGAGTAGAAAATATATGAGCCTCTCTAGGCATAAGATAAATAGCTAATATGTGAGACTCTCCAGGCATAGGTTGAGTAGAAAATATATGAGCCTCTCTAGGCATAAAATAAATAGCTAATATGTGAGACTCTTCAGGCATAAGATAAGAAGAGAATATGTCAGCCTCTTCAGGCAAAAGAAAAGAAGAGAATATGTGAGCCTCTTCAGGCAAAAGAAAAGTAGAGAATATAACCTCTTCAGGCATAAGATAAGAAGAGAATATGTCAGCCTCTTCAGGCAAAAGAAAAGAAGAGAATATGTGAGCCTCTTCAGGCAAAAGAAAAGAAGAGAATATGTGAGCCTCTTCAGGCAAAAGAAAAGTAGAGAATACAGCAGCATCTTCAGGCATTAGATAAGAAGAGAATATATCAGCCTCTTCAGGCAAAAGAAAAGTAGACAATATCATGAATATAGCAGCCTCTTCAGCCATAAGATAAGAAGTAGAATATATGGGCCTCTCCAGGATAAACTAGGTGGAAAATATGTGAGTATATATATGAACTAAGTACAGTTATGGAAGCCTCACATGGTTACATGACTCCAAACTTAACATAGAACATCATTGGAGAAGAAGCAGAAAGTCTCATTGAACAAAGCAATATGGTATAGCGGTAGTTCAGGTTCAGAATGGCTCATTGATTATCAGACAAACAAGTGACTCGGCACACCAGCGTCACTGGTTATGTTATCATGTAGTGTTTTGCCACCACGGATATAAATACTTAGTGAATAATTAAATATATCCTGTTTTCTGAATCATAGTTGTTGTTTTTGCCTTATAGGAAGAAGCAGCAACACTGGCAAGGGTGACTAAACTCAAAGCGATCTAAGCACTGATGGTCATAGTTATGATCTCCTTACATGTGAATACACTGCATATTTAGCTCACTTGGCAAGATAGCCTCTGGAAATAGCTTCTATGAAACCACTGGACCAATGGATCCGATGGTATCAGTGGCATAAATGACCTCAGTGACGACAGTGGCATTAAATCAAGGGGCTTGATCCTGATTCTCACTTAGCCACCATGGTTTTCAGTCTCTTCTTGGAACCGCTGAATGTGTGAACTTGAAACCAACAAGAAGATGTCCAGCACCATGATTGGACCAGGAATTGTTTGTGTTGTTTACATTAAATTTAAAACAACTTACAAAAACAAATAATAATGAATATTCTTCGGGGTAAAACAAGGTCTAGGTAACTCAAACATTGATTTGAAGTGCAACACATTTGGTTTCAGATTTGTATTCATACCAGTAAATTATCAATTTTTAAGAATGAACACTTTCTTCAAGAGACTTTTTCAGAGAGGTAAACTTAAAGGGGTGTTAATTACTCTTGGAATTCCTGGTTAGAACAGGTCCCCAGCAATCTCTGCTGGTCCTAAGAGGCTACCAGACAAGTATTGAGACCTGGTGGCTTGGTTGAAAGCAGCCTTTGTATGCAGTAAGTCGTTGCTCACAAAATCGATCGCGGGATTGTCTGGTCTAGACTCGATTATTTACTGACCACTGTCATATAGCTGGACTGTTGCTTTGTGCCACGTTTCACAACAAACACATTTTTGGGTTTTCATTATATTAGAATCTAAATACCAACACGTCCCAGTGATTCACGACTGATTCTACTCTTCGTAAAATCACTGTAGGAGATGTTTTAGAGCAAAAATACCACAAGATCAACTTTCATCAATTCCTGGAATGGTTAATAAAATGTACATTACCCAGTAATTCATTAGAACTATTACCGTGTGCCTGATGCCGACCCGTATTTACAAGCTGCCAAGTTTGACCAACCGAGCCTGACCACCCACTCCTGACCAATGGTCGGTTCTTACGACCGGGCTTATGTTCTGACTGGGCATAGGTTCTGAAGAGGTTCTGACAGGGTTATCACAACCATGCTTTTGATCCCATGACGGCGTCATAGCAAAAGACTTAACAGATAATGCTTGCGGTTTCCTTTCCCGGCCCTCGGCATGAAGGGGATAAAACAAAGCCTGGAGTCGGTATACTGTGTCTGAGTGGGGTGTCCATGTTAAACTGCGTGTACAAGGGCGTGCAAATCGCCCTCACTCCCCGCCCACACACTTTAAACCCCATTTAACCTCACCTCACAAATTAGATGTGAAAATGTGAGTCAGCTTGGCTTTCTCAACATAACTCGAAAAGTATTCCAATATGTCCACAACAGTCAACCAGTACAGGTGTTGAAACTATATTGTTTTCTATACCACCAAATTGTAAAAGAATATTCTTTTGGTTGCCTTCAGAAAGTCTTTGTTTGGTTTCCGCAACAGAATATTTCAAGGTATTGCCATTCCCACCACAATCAACCAGGCGGTCTGTCGCTACATGATCAGTTATGCTTTGTATTTTCATAGAGACAGACCGCCTCCGTGGTCTAATGGTAGAGCGTCCGCCCGGAGAGCGGAAGGTCCGGGGTTCGATCCCCAGCCGCGTCATACCAAAAGACGTTGAAAGATGGTACTTGTTGTTACCCTGTCTGGCGCTCGGCATTAAGGGGCTAAAACAAGGACTGGTCGGCTCAGAGTCAGTATACTGTGTCTGAGTGGGGTATTCATGTTAAACTGCGGCATGGTATCTCAGTGCGCTAGCACTATAAATCGGCATCAGTCCGGACTAGTACAAGCAGCCACACACACACACACACATACACGTGCACGCACGTCGCTATATAAGTGCAATGATCTTGGACGCGACGTTAAAATCCCATTTCGCCTCATCTTATAGTGACATGTTTGTCTTGGCACCGTTGTATGTTGATTTTCATCTACATTTTTAAAAACTAAATACTGTTTCAGCGCCAGATCCGCCAAAACAGATTCCATTGGACGCAACAGGCCTTTTTCGTTTTGCACCACAGACCGGACAGATTTATGTCTCGGCCCAAATATACACAGACATTGAAAATTTGAAGTGATATTGTTCCAGTAGCTAAAAGTCTGATTGTTGAATTGTTGCAAACAGTTTACTTAACATATTGTAACAAACAAACAAAATTGAAAATAAAATATATAGACACGTATTGTTATGAACTTTCATATACATGCATGTTTTCACTGATTGTACTTATACTTTCATAACTGTCTAAATGGTTGCGTTCCGTGCTGTGTATACGTTATAGTTAATTATTATTATTCATCATCATTATTACTAATAATATTACCGTCGTCGTCGTAGTAGTAGTAGTGGTATTGTTTTTTTTATGAAGGCGCAAAGCGCAAATACTGTCCTGAATCTTTAAAATAGATCTTCCTTCATGTTTGGTGTTGGGTGCTTGTGGTGTTATGTTGCATCTTGGTATCTTAGTGGCACACACGCATGCACGCACGCACACACACACACACACACACACACACACACACACACACACACACACACACACACACACACACACACACACACCCACGTGTGCAATATTCTTGACCGCCACTTTAAATCCCATTTCATCCCACCTCTCCTCACTATCGATGGTGCAGCGAGGCATCGACGTTAACTATTGATATTATGTCTTGTCATTGGCCAGTTGTGATCAATAATTCGGTCTATCGTTAGCCCCCTAAGGGCAAGTAGTTTGAATAATCCGATAACCCACGATAGAATTAGGTCAACGATAATTATTTAACCGTAACCAATCGCCCTTGATTAAATTAGGATGATACCAAATGTTTGTGCTAAAAAGACTCCATACTGTTCTTTTAAGTACAGTCAGCTCTTCTTGAAATATCGCCCCCCCCCCCCCCCCCCCCTACTACTACTTGAAGGAAATCACATTTACAAACCAAACACCGGTATATTAATTGGACAGTTGATATTGCGATAATGAAATATTTTACAAACAAGTGTCAAACACTCATGAGCAAGTTGTACATTTCTGCCCAGGTGTTCAATGGTAATGTCACGTGATTCCGTGTGTGCAGTATCAGCCAATCAGAGCTCATTTCCGTTGCACGAGATTTGAACGGCGCTTGTTTCAGACGACACTTTATGAGAGGAAAGGTAACGAAAGGTAAAATTATAATCCGAGAAAAATATTTGTAACTATAATGTACAGAAATGCGAAAGAAGTTCAGTGCATCTTTTGGGACAGTGAAATGTCTTTTTTACCTTAATTTGCCCCATGCACGGAATTCGTAGTTCTTTGACGTTGTCAACTACAGTTGCTGCAACTCATCAATCGAGAGAGGTAGGTCCACACAATCTCATACTTATATCGTTTTTATATATGTGCGTAGTGATTATTATGCTGGGGAAAATATTTGTATTTGTGGCTAGTTTTTGGGAAAAGAAAATTATCAAATATTTAAGACAGAAGTGTCTCTCGACTCTCGTATTATTGACACAGATCGGGTGGCCATATTTTAACATGGCTGCCGATGTGATCTGCATGTAAATAAGCGTGAAATTCAAAATGAGATTGAGCCATAAATGCAGTGTTTCTTACCTTAATCCTCAACATTTTCAATTTCCCAGATATATCGAATGTTTCGTCTCAGTTCAACTGCATTTCTTCGCTGTCTCTGAAGATTGGTTTTCAATAGAAATGAACACTTTTCAAAGCATTTAATACACAGGAACTCGATGATAGCGTGTATAACATAATATATTTGTAAAGAAAAAAATCACACCCCTCTATATACATAGAGTCTATATGTATATAGAGGGATGTGATTGTTTTCTCTATACGATTATATTATGTTATACACGCTATCATCGAGTTCCTGTGATTTAATATTGGCATTCAGGGGAACGTGCAGGTCACAACATAACCTGTATGCTGTTCTGTGGTTTGTAGCTTGTAATCCTGAAATATCCAGACCTATTGAAGGGTTCCGTTATCATCTTGGTCACTGTATATGTGGCCCGTGAAGATCCGGGGTAGAATAGGTCTTCAGCAACCCATGCTTGCCGTAAAAGGCGACTATGCTTTTAGTAAGAGGCGACTAACGGGATCGGGTGGTCAGGCTCGCTGACTTGGTTGATGCATCTCATCGATCCCAATTGCGTGGATCGATGCTCATGTTGTCAATCACTGGATTGACTGGTTCAGACTCGATTGTTTACAGACCGCCGTCATATAGCTGGAATATTGCTGAGTGCGGCGTTAAACAACAAACAAACAAACAAACACTGTATATTTCTTTCCCGGGAAAGTTTCCACACCATGCCAGGTAATACAACTCGTATCTGAAATTTATTTTCATAAGACCGTCTCCGTGGTCTAGTGGTAGAGCGTCCATCTAGGGGCTTCGATCCCCGCCCGGTGTGTGATTCGTCCGACTTAAACAAGAGGAATGTGATCAGTACATATGGCGGTTTGGGGGGGGGGGGGGGGGGTCATGCTGGTCAGATTGTTCGGCGTATCAAGGAGAGTATAACTAAGAATGACCTGTTACGTATAGTTTCAACACCATTAACACCTGTACACAGCTTCATTCTATCAGGTGGTATATATATCATGATCATGTGTCATGAATCACTATCCAATAGTGATGGTGTTCGCGAAACAGTGAGTGTATCCTGACCTACCCGTTGCACCCGTCACAAACACTTGCAAAGGCAAGTCAATAGTTCATCTAAAAATACGACGGGAACATATGGTACGAGGTATAATAGGGAATTGCATAATTATTTTCCCCTTATGCGTCAAATTTGGAAATGAGCCTATTGAAAGCTTTACTGAGGCCTTGACCTTATCAAACAACTTGTGATCATGAATCTTTCAAAGAAAGA